GAATACAATTTTCAAGCCGCACAAGAAGATTCAGCAATTCCTAAGACCAATCAAAAGTAACACCCCAAGATGCAGGTATTTACAAACTGGATTGCGACTGTGGCCTGTCTTACTTAGGGCAAACTAAACGCAATATGTCCAGCAGACTCAAAGAACACATTTCGGTCATAAGACATAGACGACACACAAAATCAGCAGTCTGTGAACACACACTAGATAGGCCCAATCACTACATACGCTTTGACCAACCGAAAGTACTTGCGAAAGAAAAAAGATTCTTCCCAAGATTGGTACGCGAAGCCATTGGAATCAAAAAACACCTCAATTTTAATAGAGAAGACGGCCTAAAATTGTCAAACACCTGGTATCCAATAATATCCAAATTAAAATCTCAAGAAAAACAATCCGCGAAAATAGAGAACACCGTGAGCCATTTTTGCCAAAACCCTCCATCTTTTAGTCGCTACCAACTCCGGGGAAATAAAAACAGATAATGCAACTTTCTCTACAGCTGTGATACTTTTTGACATTCAACACCTTTTGTCTTCAGTCACCGTGACCACACACGCTGTAAAGCACGCGAAATGTCGGTTAAATTTAAAATAATGTAAAATAATTGTAAATTTATAATAAAACATAACTTCAAATCCATTAAAAAAGTGTTGTTTTATGTCTAAAAGTTATGTCAATAAAAGACAATAAGTACTATATATGAAACTAAATTAAATGTCGAATTAAGCGATCAAGAGTAGGTCTCTTGATACGATAATCAGAGACTGATTTACAAAAATCTTTCGCAGAATTTCTCTCATCTAAGTGTCTTAAAGTTTCCAAAGCTCTACGACACACACTCAGAGGACAAAAGCTGTAATAAAGGCTTTTTATGTAGCTAAGTGTTCGTCTAAAGAGAACTGTGTTCTTCTAAACTCGAAGCCTTTTACAATTCATATCAACTAGAGATACAATTTTCATGCACAGATTATATAAACAATTAAATCATCACTTATTTTTAAATGCTTTATTAGCTCAGGTAAATTAAATACACTTAGTATTGATTTTTTCATCACAAAAAGAGCGACTTATAATTTAGTACCTGATGATTTCCAATATATAACGGAAGCTTCCGAAAAGTCTGTAATTGTTTTAATATAATAACGAAGGCCAGATAAGCAAAACATTTTGGGATATTTATCGGAATTTAATCTTTTAAACTTCCCTTTGTCTCTGTTAAACTTTTATAATTAATATAATCCAATCGATAAGCCCGAACAGTGGACAGAGTTAAAAGGCTTTACAAACTGCGTAGAATGTGAGATTTAAAAAGCTTTTTGAAATGCTTTATAGTGATACTTACTACTAACTATAGTTCGTATACATCCATGTGGCCTTGGGACCCAAATTTTTTTTCTGTGGCTTAGATCGTCGATTTTTGAGACATTCATCTGAATGTTCATTTGTCTGAAGAAGTAATTCTGTCTAAATCTTTTTGAACTTTAAGGTCATTCATAATCATTGGAATTTGGAAGAGTTTACGGTGTGTATATATGGTAAGAGCACCATAATATATTAAATTGCGTACTATGCATGTATATACTTTTAAAATAACAATTACTTGATTCAAAACAAAAATATGCACAAAAAACTACATGTCATATAGATCACCTTCGGTTTTTTTTACGTCGGTCCTTTTCGTATCACTTTTTTTCTTTCACTTTTTAAAATAATGGAAAATCTAAAAAGAGCAAAGTTGGTCCTTGCAAAAAACGACATTGCTAAAACGAAAAGCAAACTATTCTAAAATTCGAAATTCAAAAGTTTGCGCAACTTCATTTCCGCTACTAAATTTGCCATCTATTAAAAGTAGAACATTTTAGAAATTTTGCAAATGAAATAATTTAATCGAGTTAATATTTTTGCGTTTTATAAAATATATTTTAAGTGTGGTTTTATTCAAGTCGAAAATTACGTGTCTAAACGTACGTACGCCTATACATAGACATAGATCTGCGTCACAGGAAGCTTTTCGATATTTCAAAATTATAATATAAAATTAATTTTCAATAAGACTTCATTTTTATCTAAACAATAGTGCATGCGAAATACTATTTCCAAGAAAAGTATTGCTATCACAAATATAGTGACAAGTAGCGCCATCTCCAATGTTTACCGTAAATATTTAATCCGTTTATTTGTGGAAAGAAAAATTATATTTCGTAGATCGAAAATGTAAAAATTTAAATCATCTTAATTTTCATTATGGCACGTGCCTGTAAGATTGGATATTATACAAGGAAATAATTGTTTCAACAATCTTAAACTTAATATTATTATTTCGCCGTTTATGAAATCTTAATTTAAGTAGTAAGGAATAACTATGAAACACTTCTAAATAGTAAGTTGTACGTGTTAAAGGGCCTATAAATAAAAATAAAACAATGGAAGCAGAAATGTGTCTGCCCAATGTCCCATTGCATCACGAATATAGTTTTAGTAATTGTTCAAGAGGTAAAAATTTTATAGTAATTATAAAGTATTACACAGATCAAAGGTCAATACCATGAACTTTGTATCACGTACGTTTCGTATACAAATACTCGTATAATTATATTTCAACACATTTGAATTTTAACAGCCCTTACAACGTTACAGTTACATAAACTAACTACTGACATATTTAACTCAACGAAACTGCTCTTAGCAAACCGAGTGTGTTAATAAGTTTAATGCAAGCGCTCGAATAGTTTAAGAATCGTTTACAAGTAAGTGGATTACAGCCTCGCATAATTAATTTAACATCGTGATGTGATTAAGACCAGTGTCTTGCTTCTGAGAAAAAGCATTTGTCTCCGACATGGACATTGGGAACATCATTGCGTCTTATACAAACGATAATATGTATATGTTAACGTAAAATTGTAAACACCGTTAGATTGTAATCTATCTCGCGAGATTATAAACTGTCGAAAGATTGTGAACCTCAGCGTACTGCTTACAATTTAACGTATTATTATTCGTTAGATTGTAATCTATCGAAGTGAAACCGTCAAATTGTGAAACGGATCGCACCTCGCGCGCTGATTGGTTGAACGGAATATGCCCCGCGCCGCCATATTTGTTTGTTAATTCAACTAAATCTGATCTGATCTGAATCTGATACTGAAACTAAATTTATCTAAGATATGAAAGTTAAACACTGCATACAGCAGCGCTATTAGCGTAGAAGTTATAACGACTTTGAGCAAGTTTTAAACTAGATAGGTACACCTATCTAGTTTAAATTAGAATATTTTAAGTAGGTAGTGTTTTAACTAAGAAATAATGAAGACTTTGTTTAGCCTGCGGTCTTTGTAGTTTCACATCGCGGTTAGGTTTACCTCTGAAATTTCTTTATAAGCAATGGCGTGACATATTAGTTTGTGTGTTTGTTGGAGATTTGCCATTGTAAGCATTGAATTAGCTTGCTCGCATATAAAGTAATGTGATAATAAAAACATTGAAAAGTGCGAGTTTCATAAAACTGTCCATCATCAATCCTGTGAAATGTCAATACCTAATCTGTCGATTAATCACGAAAAATTTCGATAAATTTATAATCACGTCAACGCTCTATGGAATTTAGGTATATTATGAAATAGTAAATATTAGTAAAGCTTAAAAATTCTCATTTACAATGACAGTGGTCTCCCGAACCATTTGTGGCCGAAATACAGGATCCTGTGGAGCAATAACTGTTCACTGGCTCAGTGCCAATACGGGGATATTTTAATAAACGCAAATTAATGTTATCTCATGGTATGGTTGGTAAAGCTTGGAATTAAGCCAACAAGTTAATTAGCCGGAACTAAGCCTCATACATCAATCATGTAAGGTTCTGCCTAATTGTTATCTAATTAATAATATAATCTTGAGCCAGAGATGGTACTATCATTGCAAAAACATTTTGCCTCGCTTTAATCTATATTTGGCCCAAAATACGTGATTTTGATCGTTTAATAAAATCCATTTCTCCCTTAATCATACATAATGGCGAAGATGGGCCTGGAAGAGTGAAGTGTATAGTAGGTCTACCACCTACTTAGGTTTAAAGACATTTATTCTCGTAACACACAATAGTCACTTACATGAGAACTTATATACTAAAGATACAATTTATCACGTCGTGGGTCATTGAAGAGCTTCAAGGATGAATTAGCGAAGTAGAACTTAGATGGACTTTCATTTACGTTGATAACTGGGATCACTCAAGAGATGGTCTCTTAGTCTTAATTTATATATTGCCAGGCTGTTTGCACTTTTTATATTTTGTGGAAGTCTATTATACCGCAGCACTCACCCAACGCTAAATGTTTTTTTACCGTAATTGGTTCTAAACTTGGTACTTACAATTAGATTGTGAGGGCGTCGTGTACTGCGCTACTTACCTATGAAGATATTCTTTATGCCATATACGGAGACTACGTCGTTAATTTCAGGTAGTAAATAATTAAACGTTATTACTAAAACCATATTAAAAAATTTGAGCAAAACCAAATTGAAATGACAAATAAACTTTTAGAAGGCGTTGGGACGCTGACGTAACTAACCAATAACAAGAAGATTGGCACGAGGTCCAAAACTATATTCGAACGTTTTTAAAGTAGCACAGGTCGTTTGCTGTCTTTATTTTACCACTTTTGCCGTACTCATAGCTGTTAATTTATAGATAGTATGTATTAGTAGTTGTTCATTTATGGAAATACTTAGCGTGATAGATATATCACTTTCTCTTTTAAATAAACATCATTTTTTATTATGTGTAAAAAGTTTTATCTTTTCTTTTCTTTTTAATAATTGTTTTATATAATAGTTTAAAATATGTATATCAATTTGTTTCACAAAAACCAGATGCAACAATAATTATATTTGACTTAAGTGGTAAAGTATGCATTATAAGTACAATAACACATTTTCAGACATATGACAAAGAAAAAGGTAGGTACTCTCAAAAATTATTTATTTCATCAATGCGTAGACAGGCGTGAATCATCAGTATAGTCGTGTGCGGGTAGGTGCGTTGCGCGATCGAGCGTGGACTGCGCGTGTAACGTCACAACAGTCATACACCAAACGCCTGCCGTGGTGAGCGCACGTATGTGCACTGTGCATTCTGCGGGCCATAGCTGCCATCTACAAAATATAACTGTGAGATAACAATTATGATTCAGGCCCCATTAGTGTAGACAGGAAACAATTTATTTTACTTTAATTTCGAACGGCTTTTAGAAAATTGAGTTTAGAGGTTCTGATCGTACATAAAAGTGTTAATATAATAGAAAGAAAATAATAAGATCGTTTTGGAAAATACTAAATATTCTTTATATGTGGTTCGAAATGATAATGTTAAAGGATCTATTCAATATTAACAATCTTAAAGAGTCTAGAGCTAGAGAAATAAAGAAATGTTGCCTTGTGAAACAGCCTGAAATGTAGTGCCCTAGAGGTTACTACTCCGCTTCATATGAGTATAGTGATACAATAGTAAACCTTGAAATAAATTGCACGTAGACTCGTTCTCGGGTGCGAGGCGCAAGAGTTAATCTCGGCGGCCATATCCGGTACTCCTTATCCCCACAACATTCTATTGCCACTTCCATCGTTATAGTGGCTGAAATGAATAAACCTTATATCAAAAACTCTCTTTCCGACTTAAAATATTTAAGACCATTATTGATATTTAACGTAACGTTTAACGTTTAGACTTTAGACATTAGGAGAAGTGTTTTTAAATTAGTAACAAAGGCTTACTTAAATTGAGAATAATTATTTATTACAAAATAAACAATTATTTGATTCTGCGAAGATGAATTTAAAGACTTTAAGTATTCTAGTAATTTGACGTTGTTTAGTACTTATTAAAATTGTTTAATTATATAACATTGACGTGAAGCTATAGTAATTTGTGCCCCCCCTCTCTCTTTTTTTCCTTTTTTTTTTTCCTTTTTTTTTTTTTTTTTTTTTTTTTTTTTTTTTTTTTTTTTAAAATTTTTTTTATTTTTTTTTTTTTTTTTTTTTTTTTTTTTTTTTTTTTTTTTTTTTTTTTTTTTTTTTTTTTTTTTTTTTTTTTTTTTTTTTTTTTTTTTTTTTTTTTTTTTTTTTTTTTTTTTTTTTTTTTTATTTTTTTTATTTTTTTTTTTTTTTTTTTTTTTTTTTTTTTTTTTTTTTTTTTTTTTTTTTTTTTTTTTTTTTTTTTTTTTTTTTTTTTTTTTTTTTTTTTTTTTTTTTTTTTTTTTTTTTTTTTTTTTTTTTTTTTTTTTTTTTTTTTTTTTTTTTTTTTTTTTTTTTTTTTTTTTTTTTTTTTTTTTTTTTTTTTTTTTTTTTTTTTTTTTTTTTTTTTTTTTTTTTTTTTTTTTTTTTTTTTTTTTTTTTTTTTTTTTTTTTTTTTTTTTTTTTTTTTTTTTTTTTTTTTTTTTTTTTTTTTTTTTTTTTTTTTTTTTTTTTTTTTTTTTTTTTTTTTTTTTTTTTTTTTTTTTTTTTTTTTTTTTTTTTTTTTTTTTTTTTTTTTTTTTTTTTTTTTTTTTTTTTTTTTTTTTTTTTTTTTTTTTTTTTTTTTTTTTTTTTTTTTTTTTTTTTTTTTTTTTTTTTTTTTTTTTTTTTTTTTTTTTTTTTTTTTTTTTTTTTTTCTTTTTTTTTTTTTTTTTTTTTTTTTTTTTTTTTTTTTTTTTTTTTTTTTTTTTTTTTTTTTTTTTTTTTTTTTTTTTTTTTTTTTTTTTTTTTTTTTTTTTTTTTTTTTTTTTTTTTTTTTTTTTTTTTTTTTTTTTTTTTTTTTTTTTTTTTTTTTTTTTTTTTTTTTTTTTTTTTTTTTTTTTTTTTTTTTTTTTTTTTTTTTTTTTTTTTTTTTTTTTTTTTTTTTTTTTTTTTTTTTTTTTTTTTTTTTTTTTTTTTTTTTTTTTTTTTTTTTTTTTTTTTTTTTTTTTTTTTTTTTTTTTTTTTTTTTTTTTTTTTTTTTTTTTTTTTTTTTTTTTTTTTTTTTTTTTTTTTTTTTTTTTTTTTTTTTTTTTTTTTTTTTTTTTTTTTTTTTTTTTTTTTTTTTTTTTTTTTTTTTTTTTTTTTTTTTTTTTTTTTTTTTTTTTTTTTTTTTTTTTTTTTTTTTTTTTTTTTTTTTTTTTTTTTTTTTTTTTTTTTTTTTTTTTTTTTTTTTTTTTTTTTTTTTTTTTTTTTTTTTTTTTTTTTTTTTTTTTTTTTTTTTTTTTTTTTTTTTTTTTTTTTTTTTTTTTTTTTTTTTTTTTTTTTTTTTTTTTTTTTTTTTTTTTTTTTTTTTTTTTTTTTTTTTTTTTTTTTTTTTTTTTTTTTTTTTTTTTTTTTTTTTTTTTTTTTTTTTTTTTTTTTTTTTTTTTTTTTTTTTTTTTTTTTTTTTTTTTTTTTTTTTTTTTTTTTTTTTTTTTTTTTTTTTTTTTTTTTTTTTTTTTTTTTTTTTTTTTTTTTTTTTTTTTTTTTTTTTTTTTTTTTTTTTTTTTTTTTTTTTTTTTTTTTTTTTTTTTTTTTTAATTTTTTTTTTTTTTTTTTTTTTTTTTTTTTTTTTTTTTTTTTTTTTTTTTTTTTTTTTTTTTTTTTTTTTTTTTTTTTTTTTTTTTTTTTTTTTTTTTTTTTTTTTTTTTTTTTTTTTTTTTTTTTTTTTTATTTTTTTTTTTTTTTTTTTTTTTTTTTTTTTTTTTTTTTTTTTTTTTTTTTTTTTTTTTTTTTTTTTGTGGCTTTTTGGCATATCTATACAAAATTGTGCACCAGTAGCTTATATAAACCGTGTGCAGATATGGAGTCATGCATCATTTCTTTTTATAAATAAAAGTAATAAAACACATTTGTCTTTATAAAAATCGAAAAATGAACGATGTACGTTACACGCATAAGATTTTCTCAAAAGAATAACAATTACACTCTGACACTATAGATTAGTATATATTAGGTTATAAGATTGTAATTATTACATAAAAAAGATTCTGACAGATTAAGAACCATTTAAAAATAAAAAAAATATTACATACAACTAGTTTGCATGAGCGTGAAGTAGGTTTTCCTATAATCTCCGTCCATTACGTAACCGAAGTCGATTTTACTTGGCTCCACTTGTAACTTCGGAAATTCTACGTTCAAGTGCAAAGGCATAGACTGAAATAAAATTTAATTTTACTAATTGGATCGCCATCTATTTTCCTTTGGTGTAGGTACTATCAAATAAATTGGAAACACCAGTCGCAGACACGTAGTTAAAAATGCGCTTTCGTAACAATAGTCCTTTTGGATATAAAGGCTGGGGTTGTTTTGATTTACTTTTCGATTGCATTCTATTCTTGATTTATTTTTTGCGATTGCTAGTTTTGTTTCTCTAATTATATACAGTTTCGAGTTTTGATTTCGATTTTCATTACCTCCACTTTGTAACACGGTACAGTCATTCGCTGTACCTTTATTATATATTTGTTGAAATCAAATTAGACTTGGTATAAGAGTAAAAAGTAGTACGGAAGTGAATTCAAAAAAATAAATTTTGTGATAGAACATTACATAACATTAGTTTATAGTACTTTTATGAGTAAGATGTAAATAAGTATCTGTTATTTTAAAATGTAGTCAATTCTGTATGTACTTATCATATAAATTTAAGCCCACTTAAGTCAAATGTTTAAAATACTTAAGAAATTGGGAGATATTATTTATTTTACGGTTTATAACAGTGAAACGCAATTTTGCAAATTAGTTTCTAAAAGTTTTTGGCGGAATGTATTCAAAATCACGAAGCACACTCTAAAATTTAAATAAAGAGATTTTAATTTTATTGAAGTATTTTATAGGAAGTGTTTATATAAAATTGAATAGAAGATTATAAAAACCTTATCATATAACATATGGAAATACCTTTAAAACAATAAACGTTTCGGACTAGCCTTGTCTTTAAAATATTGACATTACACTTGCTACGTAACAAAAATGTATACGGGCACTATGGGTCTACTTGTATTCAGTATTTTTAGGAAATACACAAAAAATCTTTGTACACATTTTTTTTTATTATATATATTTATTTATTCCTCTTCAATCCAAAACCTCCATCTTATCACAAAAACAATTTTAAATTCATGGGTGCTCATGGATATAGTCTACGCTCTTCCCAGAGATACTTTAAATATCTACTGTACAAGCATTATTTGTAATTGTTTGTTTAGTGATTTTCATTATGTTTTAGATATAGTATATATGCAGTTTTTACATTTCTATGTCAGTTAAGTTAGCGACAGCTATATTTTCCTATGCGAAATTTGTTCTTACTGATACGGTAAAGGAAAACATAGCAAGGAAACAGGGCTGATTCGCTACTATGTATATATACAGCGTATTGATAAATATAATAAAGAAAACAGATATAAAAAAAAACAAGATGAAAAGTCGTAGCACTACTGGTGCGTGCTATTATTAACTGACATACATTTGACGTAAGAAAATATCATAATATACCATTAAAAAGATGTTCTGTTCATCAAAGAATTTTAGTTCAGCTGTATCTTTCTTATAGGAGTCATATACTTCTCCTGGTTTCGGCCACATATCTTTTGTCACTAGTGCGACTTCAACCGCCACCTGGATTGATCATATTTAATTATTAAAAAAGTAGTTTGTGCAACTGTTAAAAACAGAACTGTGTATTTACACTATTATTTATTTTATCTCATATTTAATTGGCATTGAAACTTAATACATGTTATCCATATACATTATACATATACAATATACATAGTCCATAATACATGGACTATAGAAATATCACCCAAAAAATTCTTTTTAAAAAACCAAATAAATTATGTTGCGTCAAATCCAAATTTATCTAAATTTGACCTTGTTCACGCATTTGGCCTAGCTAGAAAAAAAAAAGCTTCCCGACGTAAGCAAATCTTGTAATATAAAAATAATTCCACTTACCTCCGTAGAACTACCAGGGAATAAAACTAAATCAAGCGTTTGTGATCCCAGTCCTGAGCCTATGCATTTAGCAAAACACTGCTCTTGAGGAATGCGGAGACACCAGGGCTTTTCAGTAACAGCATATGTCTGAAGACGTCCTGAACCGGTGTTCATAACTCGGATATGTTTCCTTATTCTGTGAAAATATAATAATATATATATAAATAAATAAGACGTCTTATATTAATTGGGTGTTACGTATTATATTTTTTATCTGTTTACCTGAGTATGTCATTCGCTGGTAGATCCAGAGCGCAGATCTGAATGTGCAATTTTGTGGGAAGAACTAATAACTTTGGCGACCGTGGAATCGCCATTAAACGGACGATCAGTGGTGGAGGCTCCGGGCGATACCAGTTAGGCCTATTAGTTAAAATATATTATTTTCTGTGTGTTTGTGTGTGTATAAGTCCTGCATACATTTACATGTATGTAAATGTGTTGGCGTAGAGGTTTAACCGTGAGACTCTCAACCCTACAACCCTACATTCAAATGGACTTTTCGATGTGCGCAACTGACGCTTGCTTGTACGACGAAAAGATATGTCGTCAAGATAATTTGCTTCAAAAATTTACGACATCTTAACATACTATTAAGACACATACAATCTGAGGTCATTTCAAATAGGGTTGTGCGGTCAATGAAATTTTATCCTAAAAATGAGTAAAATTAAAATAATATATTATTTAATTTCTTTTACGTGCTATGTAAACGACGTGAGCGAATCCTATCCTTAACTCCACTTACACTACTTTCAACATGCAACATATTAATTCGGTTTTAAGTTCCACACAATCAGGGCAACGTGTAAATTCAAGCTTAAGAAAATAAGAAACTCGAGAAAATTTTAAGAAAACAGTCTCAGGAAAGTGGCTTGTTAAGTTGAAAAAACTTTGAATAACAAAAGAGATTTCCTCTATCTTATAAAGTCTTTTTCACTTAGCTAACCTATTGTCTATGGGCCGAGGACATTGTTGACTTAACCTGATTCTATCCCATTGTTTTAAATAAGCGGTACGGAGTATTAATGAAAGAAGGGAAATAGTTGAATTGTTTAAAATTTATATCCTTAGAGTTGTTATTAGATTGCCGATCTAAGAAATAATGGACTCAGTGTTATACCACTGTAGAATCCTTATTAAATGCGCTAACTTTTAAAGCTACTTGCCAAACTGGAGTAATACATTTTTTTTTCAGGACGATCAGTTGAAGTAATAGTGCGAAAATTAATTTTGAAAACTTGGTACGGTATAAAATGACATTTTCCTAAAAGTTGGAGTGATCAGCACAGAGTTTAGGATCATAGGTTACATAACACACTATTCGGGATGACGTAAGAGAAAAAAATTTGGCAAAAAGTAAATATTTGTAACAACAGGAATGAAAAAACTGTCACATGGTGTGCATTTTCTGGAATAACAAAAAAATATCCATAACTTCAAAAATACAATATGACTTATTTTTTTTTTTCTGATAACTGGTATGGCAATACCTATGAGAAAATTTCGACTTGACGTCGACTTTTGGGACACCCTGTATAAAATTACATATGTTAGGTACATAAAATCGCTAAATTAATTTGAACATTTGCACATTAGTGGTTATAGAAATACCTTTACGAGTACATACGTACTACTCATAGTTGGTTTTAATAAATTGACACTAATACAATACTAAACACGAATTCAAAAGGTTTATATAGTGGAGAATTTTTTATGAAATTGATCTAGTTTATTGCAACATGTTTTTCTTTCATAATGAAATAATAATTAAAAAATGAACAATGTAAAAATATTATTTATTTATTAACTTAACTACTATTTATTAGACTAGATTATTCTCATTTCTTTCGAAAGTTTAAATAAAATAACAAGTACATATATATTTATATCTTGCTATCAATTAAAAGATTTAACACTAGACACACTCAATTGCGTGGCAATTCTTTCAAAAAGATATTCTTAGACCTTTAATGTCACTGAATCAGGCAGATTTAAGACACAGGCTTTAGTTACACACACACAAATACACAACAACCTACACGCACTCTGTCTGTATATATTATTTTTAAATAATAAATATGAGTAAAAAACAAATGGCATTCTATTTATCATTCCATAGGGACTAACAAGATTTTCCGTTCAAATAATTGTAACAATACAAAGTTAACAAATGGTTTTAAGATTGTTGATTTAGGCCTATGTAAAGTCGGTACTTACGTTTTGATGTAAATATTATCGCTAAAGGCGTAAGGACCGAAAGGTTTGATTTTAATTAAAGAATTTATTAATTAATATTACAGAGGTATTATCTGGTGTAAACTTCTAAAATTTGTTCCTTATATTATAATTAAATGTAATGCTAGTTAATGTAGGTTTAATATTAGTGTTACGAATTTTTTTACGAGTTGCCCATGTATTAAGAATGCGCTACCACTTTGTTTATCTGTCTAAAGGTTAAACTAATTTTTTTCCTTTAAATGCGACTCAATTGATGAAAAGGTTTGAAGAATTGTTATTTTATTGTTCTTGTTTTCAAATTTTGATGGACTCGATATTCTGTGCGTTCTCTCTTCATCTGTTTCTCTAACTTCACAATATGGTTTTAATTAACGAGCACATTTTGATTTATGTGTTTTTCTTTAAAATGTATTAAAAAATATGTAATATTTCAACAGTATTACAGATGAAACCTTGTGGGATGAACAAAAGCAGAACCCTTTCAAAAGTCAAAGACGGGAAAACTTATACATTATGAATAGTTCTGATTTACTGTGCCACGGGGAGCACCATTAACACAAATTTATTTTCAGTGTGATCGAGAAGGTTTGGCTCGCCTGAAGTATGCTACACACATGATTTGACAATATCAGACAGCCCCGGTGTCAGGCGGGCAACGGTGCCACGTACACTTTAAAAATTTTAAACCTAAACTTTCCGCATCAATTATTCTAGATATTCTAGATATTTAATTCTAGATATAACAAATAGAAGTGGCGGAGAACTTGTTTTTACATAATACAAAAGTTATGCATATTATGCTGGCTTTAGTAGGCACTATCAAGCTCATGTGAAAAGTCGTAGAGCGTTTTATACGAATAAAATATAATCATATATCCCTCAAAGCAGCGTTCGCAAGAAATGTTTTCAGTCGATCGTTTTTTCTCCGACTTTGCAAATCCGAGTTCCACGACTATTTCTTTTTATTTTACGGGGCATATGACATAAATAACATGACTTTCTATAGGTACAATAATTTTGAAAATCGTTTCAATAGATCCAAAGATTACTCCCTACAACCTCACAAACTTTACCTATTTATAATATTAGTATATATTTCCCAGGGAAAAACCGTTGCTTAAGTAGCTATACGAGTGATAAACTGGACATGTATTAAACCCAATCTTCCTGCTGATAGGCAATCACATGGATAAGTATATTTTATTATATTAATATTTAGTATATAAAAATACACATTAAAGAAAACATTTCAATTCACTCAATGAAAGAACAGTAATTCTGAAACCCATTTTTTTTACAAAAAGTAACTAATATAAATTATACCTACTACTTTGAATGGAACATATGTACATTACAAACACTTTTAAGCTTTTCATATGTGTACCACCACCATTGTGAGCTGTAATGTATTTTATTGCTTAATGCATCTGAAAGTTTGCTTGGCTTGGCTTGCAGTTAGGTAAATCGACTCACAACAAATTACCTACATTTAGAATACTTTAGGATTATATGCGGAAATGGACGCTAAGTTTATGTTTTATACGCGCAACTATCGAAAGACTGAACCAATTAAACCTCAACTGTGATATCTTCTTATTTTAAAGGATTTGAAATCTGGTGGATCGTTTCCAGTATATTTACTGAATTGTGTAAACAAGATTTAAAACTTGCACCGTGATTCACGTATAATCCATAATTTTTAATGCAGTTTAAATATTTTCTTACATATTCTTTTAAATATAGTAAGACCTCGTATGGGAAGAGGAAGTAACATTAATTAATTTATATACATAAAAAAATAAAGAAATTTATGTGACGGTGGAACACAAATTGGTGACAATTTCTCCGTCCACCGAAGCGTCCACTTGCATTACAATACCTACAATACTGAACTACTTGAATTTTTTAAAAATGAAATATAATATAAAATAGAAAGTTTCAACAAGGCATGATAATTGGTTTACAATCTTAAAGCATTAGGCACAAAGTGTGACAGTAGAAACCTGTTATTGACGCCCGTGTCAAGTGCTGAGGTACAGGGTGTCTTTAAAAGTTTACTTTTAATTAGTACAAGTTGGTAAATATAAAATAAAACAACAAATATTATGAATACTTTTTATAGTTTGATCAATGTAGTAGTTTTTAAGATTATATTTGATATTTTTGTTAGTCAGTTTCTCACGTAATGATTCTGTTAGGAGATTAAATTTGGAATTATATAGTTTAGACCAGTGCCGATAATTCATAGAGAAGGGAAGGGTATGACAGGTCTGGGCGTTACTGCATACGATGTTTTGCATTTTCTGAGAAGATTTACTATGGTAATATATATATATTTTTTTACCATAGGAAAGTAGAGATTTCAACGAACTGAAAGCACACCAACTTTTTGAAAAAAGCTGAAATTTTGACGTCAGAATTTTCGATTGAAAATTAGGGTGTTTTTTCGATATTAATTCAAAATAAGGTGAAAAAATAAATATTTTGAATCAAATAAATTACAGTATATTTGGGACATAATAAGGTAAGTTTTCACCAAATTTCGTTAAAAAAAAAGAAATTTGTAAAAGATAAAAATTAAAAACCAAAAACTTGGTTTTTTGAATTTTTCACATAAATTTTGAGGTTATGTGAAAAATGTGTGAATACAAAAGTTTTAGATCTTTTTATTACCTACAACTTTGCCATTTAACTTTCTTCGATAGGACTTTTAGTTTTGCCGGAAATCGAGATAAACCGTTTTTTACCCTTAAAACTCCCCCACCTGCATGATTGTATGAATTGAACTTGTATGATTACAAGTACTTAAACTTCACAAATACTACCGTTTAAGTAACCATATATCAGCAGGTCTAACTAACAATGTGGTTCAAGTTTAACTTGATACATTGCCCAGAAGTTATCGTTGAGTAACATCGCAAATGTTGGCAAAAGATCGCTTAAAATAATCGCAAATTATCCCTTACTTTATCTATATCTATACTTATATTATACATTAGAAACACTTAAAGGAACACTATTACACGTGTATATTGCACATTAGTTAAAGTGTAGTGACCCATGATGGCAGTCACGGGCTGCGAACGGTCGGGTCGCGAGTTTAGTAATAATATATTATAACAATAGAAGGTCGTTTTCATTGTCCGCCAACCGAACCCCGTACTCATCAGAGTTCTATTTTTGTATATTTCTAACGAAACAACTAAAAAACTACCGGATCTATTACAAAAAATTGTCACCATTCGAATGCCAGAATTAAATATACAGGCGTGCTGGAGTAAGTAGCAGTTGAACTTAATAATTCAATAAATAATAATAATAAGCTAACATGTGATTTTTTCCAAAAATGTCTATAATTCCAGTGATTTTTCGTCCGTAACACTGCCAAAGTGTTCTTGAAACATGCATTTGAAACAGCTGAGTCTGATTCCCGGTATGTCCGCTATTCATATGGAAACAAGATGTGTGGACCAGCTTTGTTTAAGCTATACTAAAAAGATTTGACTCACAGACTCCGAATAGCTAGTTTAGACCCCTGGAATTACGATAATTCAGCTCGACTACTATTGGAATTAGTAAAAATAAATTGTCGAGTATAATTATTGTACCTTTTTTTACTTTATGTGTTATATCAAGCATAACTTACTGTACAGCTTGGCAGCCAGTGGACTGTGAGATGTCATTGAATTCATATGTAACTAGCAGACCGGCCAAGCGTTGCTGTGGCTAAGGTTTTTGTTATATTACATAGTAGTAAACTATTCAAGGGAAACGGTAGGACCAGTCATGGGGACTACCATGCTTTATTGGTGGTTATGCCATTAAATCGTAGCTTATGTGAAACTTTGGTCCTTTCAACACAGCGCGATCTGTTAGAATTGTGACTGTTAAATAATAAACAAATATTTTGCAATAAAATAATATTGCGGGTATAAATTGAGATGTAAGCTATCCTATCTTTTAAGCTTAGATCAAACTGCACACGGTGTGCAAATTTGATTGATATCGGTTAGATAGTTTAGGAGTCCATAGCGGACAAACAACGTGACACGTAATTTATATATATTAAGATAAGTGTCAGGAGTATCGAGTTGCAAGATGCGCTAGTTGACTAAATAAATGGTGATAACTAAGAGCCTAACAACCCTACGGATCCCTAGCTCTACAGTTATACCCAAACACAACAAAAGTAATGAATATATAAATAATATAAATAGTAGTGGGATAATCTCAAAGAAGGCGCACCGCGATAATTAAGGGGTCGAAGGAGTCTTTATATCCTTCCAGTATGAGAGAAAGCCAGAAATGAATATAACAGAGCAATATTCAAATCTGATTCATTGTTTATAAAACAACATTGTCAGCAAAATATTATGTTAAATAATGCTGTTTTATCGTAGCAAAACGTAATTAAATCCATGATGTGCCAACCATTCCAGGACGTATCGTAGAATACCAAAATTTAGTAATATTATTTCTTTTAAGATTCGGTCTAATCCTTAATATAACCCACATACTAATGTAGGATAGTACTTGGAGTAGCAAGTCGATAGTGGAGGAACGACCTAAAATTGTTGCAGTATAAATATTTGAAATTGCACAGCCTCCAAGGAAATACTAGCCCGCTGTACTGATGAATATTTCAGTGCGACAAATCTAAGTGACCGCCAGGGATACTGGCTTGAAATTTTAGAATTTATTTCTAAAATCCACACCACAGTTCCAGTTCTTATAAATGGATATAGAAAATTTTAAGATACATCCAGTTGATACCACTGAAGAATTACTATTAAGAATTCTGCTTTATATTAAATCGTTATTAAAAAAAAAATTATATAAAATTAACATTTATTCGTCAAAATATAATATGGAATAAGTTCGTCTTTTTACACTTTTATGTAAAAAACTACGCCAGAGGTTTCAGACATAGCACACCAAAAAATACAATTACGAGTGTATTGTGTGTGTACGAGCGTGAGAATATGTGCGCGTGTGTGCATGTCCATGTCCATGTGTTAGGTGACAATTCGCAAAGCCTACAATATGAACAAACTTCAGGAATATCATCAACTCACCGTAACATATGTTTTATTCACAAATTGGAGCAATTGCGACCTTATTATGCACAAGGACTAAGATTGCGGTTTGGTTGCCATGGTAATGGTTTTTCATTAAAAAGATATCGATATCACGATATCTTTTTAAATGTTAACACGGTAATGTATTTCGTTCACGTTTCATAATGGCAACAATTTAAGTTATAAATAGCATTATTAAACGTAAATACCTTATATATTTATTCCATACGGTTTTATTTCAAAATGAATTTCGACAATAATACTGCATAAAGCTTGTCAAAGGCTAATAGGATTACTTTGAAATTGCTCTCAGTAAGTTAACAGTATGTTAAAGTTACTATGAATTTTCCGTGTTGACGGTTGGCATGTATAGGGTGTTTTGTTACTAAACGTTTATTATTTATTTATTTTCGCAAAGTAACGATTGTCTTTATAAAATTTCGTATATTTTCAATAAAAAACATATCTGATTTCCGTACGTACTATATTTCAATTAAATTTATATATGTATATGTAGTGTATGTCTTATATGTAGGTAGACCTATTTGTTTGTACTCTGGCTGAGTTCACAAAAGCTGCTTGTTATATTTTTTTTATCAATTGTGCTTTTTATTGTACAATTATCGGTGTAGGTATTGTTATGTAGGTCTATCGTATTACTACCTAATAACTATAAAAATATAATTATTACCAAATAAAAAGTATTAGCAAGCTGCACTAGATAAGTAAATATATGAGAGGGTAAGAACTACGAACAGAACAACCCTATTTTAATGTACATAGTACATCATCACAGCCCCTTGTGGGCCTTAGCCTCCTCAAGTACACTTTGCCATCGCAAGCTATCCAGTGCTTCCTACGAACCCCTATTGTTTCAAGATCCTTGACAACTCCATCCCACCAACGCAATCTCGGTCTACCGGGTTTTCTCTTGCCAACGGGTTGTGAGTTCAGTAAGGGCTTGGTTTCTGTCGTTGTGTCGGTCGTCATTCGTTGCACATGTCCCAGCCACTTGAGCCTGTTGCACTATATGAATTGGACAATGTTGGCGTCGTCTAGGATGTTATAAAGTTCTTCATTGTAGCGATTACGCCAAACATCGTCGCGTCGCAAACTGGACCAAAATTCTTCGAAGAATCGTCCGCTCGAAAATAAGGAGTGAGATCTCGTCTTTCTTGCTAAGGGGCGAGGTTTTAGAACCATAAGTGAGCATTGGTCGCAGCAGAGTTTTATAGAGAACAACCTTGGTATTCTTTCTGAGTAGTTGCGATCGGATATTATCTACGAAGGCCCAAAGTAGCAGCGATTTGCTTCATGATGCGTCTACTGATCTCTTAAATGTCTTATTAATATAAGTATAATAAAGCAAGTAAATATAAGGCATCTAAGTTACGAACTGGTTTAGCGAAAATGTGACAACCGAATATATAGTTTATAACGAAATTAAAAGATAATATTTAATATATAGTATTATTGCATTGTATACCTACCCCCGCGTTTTACCTATTGGTAGTATTCTCATCAAAATCCCACAAGATGGTTGTGGGTCGGGTTCATTTGACAGCGTCACAAGCGGAGCAGCGCTGGAGTTTTCGTCAATTGTAAATTCTTTGGGTTCGACCTGCAACAATTAACAAGGATTTTATTAAGATAACTCTATAACTTTGATAAAAAATAATACCTATATGTCTTATAAAAAATAGGATTTCATCGAACAGATTGATTTGACTTTGACTTTGGGAATTTTTAACTAAAATGCCTTTATGTCTGAATATCTATATAATACTAGACTTACAGTAAATATCATAATTATTGAAATAACATTAGAAATATTCTTTATGAACATACTGTATAAAAAGCATGGTCCTGCGTGCCGTAATCCCGGGCGAGGAACAATTCGATATCCGTATCCATTTCCACATATACTGAGCTGCTTTCCTTCTCAGAATCTTCAATGTATGACCCCGCTGAAAATGTTGGATATTGTGGGGTTATATCGTAATTAGTATATAAATCGCTTGTAAGACGCGCCCTAAAATAGACATAATCATTAATTTATGTTATGGATTTGTTTAAATAACCTTTACTATTGTAATACCGAGAATAATCTCGGAGAAAAATGAAGAATATTATCAAATGTAGGGTAAAAGCCGGATAGTTGCCTCGGACGGATACATGCCCCGGTGTTTAAAAAACTATGTTAGGATTATAAGTTGTATTGGCGCTTTACTACAATAAGTAGTGACAGCCCCTCAGGCCTAAATGCCACGTAAGCCATCGGAATAGGCCCAAGTGTTTTGTCCGTGTGAGCAAAAATCTTCCGCGGCGAAACTTTGACGGGCGTTATAATTATTTTGGTAAGTAATTTCTATTGAATATTATTATTACTGATCGTGGTTTCAGTCAACTTTTTGTTTCTTTGCATGCATTAGAGTTTAAATTACACTGTTTATCATGTTTTATTGCTAAATAATTTTTATTTATTTCGCAAATAAAAAGGGCAAGTATCCGCATCAAAAAGGATAGTTGCCCCACTTACTGTCGCGGATAGTTGCCCCTAGAGTGACTAAAAATTTCTTAACAAGCAAAGACGGATTTTATTTTTTTGCTGTTTATTTGATGTTTATTCGAATTTACTTTGTCTCTTACTTGTTGTAAATTAAATAAATATCTACTTCACAGTTTTATATATTTATTATAGATAAGCAAAAGCCTCATCAACATCAACTGGACAGAAGATAGCTTAGCACTTGCCTTCGAAAAATTGAGACAAAGTTGGGATTAAAGCACAACTTTATTAATGAGAGTAAAATGGCTGGACCTCAATGGCTCAAAAGCTTTCTTGAAAGAAATCCTGATATAACTTTGAGACAAGCTGAGGGTTTATCAATTGAAAGAGCGTAGGGTCTCAACAGAACAGAAGTTGCAAATTTTTTCAAACTCTTAACAACTACTTTAACTGAGAATAATTTGCTGGATAAGTCAGATAAAATATTTAACATGAATGAAAGCGGTGTCCAACTCAATAATAAAATTGGTAAAGTATTAGCTAAGAAAGAGGAGAAAAAATTACTGTTGTTTCTTAATATTTCAAATTGTACTTAATAAAAGATCTCAGTAAATTATATAGACTGTTAAATAAATAATAAAGATTACTCTATTTGATATAAATTTCTTTCTATCCAAAATAAAAACGCACGAGGCAAGTATCACCCGAAGCATTTTCTACGCTAGGCTACTATCCGCCATAGTAGGCAACTATCCCTTTTCTGAGAGGTGAAATAAAACGGTATTTATTCAAAACCATTGTTAATTATGTGTACAAAAATAGGCTTTTATAGAAGATAAAAGACCTATGTTGCGATATACATACTGAATAATTTTCAGCAAGTTCATATTTAAAAAATATAAAGCTTTTTCGAAAAGTGGGGCAACTATCCGGCTTTTCCCCTATAGAAAAACACTTTTTTAACGGATTTGAAGTTATGTGATATTATCAATTTACAATTATTTTACATAATTTTAAATTTAACCGACGTTTCGCGTGCTTTACAGCGTGCGTGGTCAGTCACCGTGACATAACTTCAAATCCGTTAAAAAGGTATTTTTCTATGTCTAAAAGTTATGTCAATAAAAGACAATATTATCAAATGCACTTAAAATGGAGTATATAATTTATTATACATTTTTATTTGGTTTTTTACACTATTGGAGGGAAAGAAGCCTACGGGATGTCCAAAAAGGTCAGACATGGATACCCTTTTAGCGAGTGCGTTGCAGTCCTTTGAGGGAACAGTATGGTCTTTTTTTAAGCAAATGGAAGTCGTATCTCCCTCAAGGATGACCCCCGCCTGCAGTCGATTCAACGCAATATCTCTGCGTAGAAAGAGAGAGAGAGAGAATCAAATCGATCAGTTGTACAGTGGAGATGGACAATTCGACAAGCCCTTCGCTGAATTTGGTCCAACGGAAACAGCTGGTATTTAGGCCTAGAGATTATTCCATGTGAGGTCGTACTTTAGCATTGCAGAGCTGCATACGTTGTACCTCAGTGAAATACTGCTTTGCCCTACCCAAAACACAGATGGCTGCGGAATTGGATTTGGTGGCGACGGTGCCTGATTGATACTAGCCCAGGCAATATTTCCATCGACATAAATTTGTGAACGATATAAGAATTTTCTACCGGTTTTTTAATTTTTACACGATGCAAGAGGCAGCTGACAGCCCTATTATCGCGATTGTTTCGTGGACGATTTTTTTATTGGCATAATTAGCCGTCTGTATGTAATACATGTCGAAACTAGGGTTTGAAATGAAAACAAGAGATTTGGGTCCACAGCATTAGCGAATCGTTGTGAATTAAACGAAAACTATTTGCATAGTCAGGGTCAAACTTAAAAGGGTAAAAGTCGCACCCTACGACTAGGTTAACAATTTTCTCATAAGCTATAGATACTGGCCGATATACATATTACGTTAGCTAAATAATTTACAGCATAGGTGAGGTTCGCCAAACATCATTAATTTTTCCTGGGATAAACGATCGGCCTCGGAAGATTTATGAGCCTCGCTTAGTGGCTAACGTTTACTCCGATTTTATATTTCATGCTGCTAACGGTGAAATTTTACGCTTACACTGCTCTAGCTGAATCATATTTCATTACAAATATTGTTGCGGCATTTCAGCATTACTGGTATTGGTATTTCAAAGTATTTAACTAAACTAATTAACGGAATGCTTGTAACAGATTCCCTCTTCAATTATGTACTTTCAATAATTTTAAGTGATTTATAATAGTTTAGACTTGTTTAAAAAAAATAGTAATATCTAAGGCCAACTATCGTTCTAAATAAGAAATGAGACTTATAAAGGAAAACATTAAATAGCTAATAAAAGTCATTATCGCTTAAATGCTAGGTCATTAGAAAATTGGGCTTCTATCTGAAGATCTTAAGTTCTTCTATTTCAAGTTAGTCAGTTTTTTAGGACAGATTTTATAATGAAACTAGCTGACTCGGCAAACGTTGTTTTGCCATTTATATTATTATTTCTAGGAAACATTTTTGAAGTTATACTTCTTTAGACGCGTTATGAAAAATAGATGAGAGTGAAATTTTACGATGCGCGCGCACCGTGACACAAAATTATCAGTATGAAGTTGCCTACTAACGAATTCTTTTTAAACCAGCCGGGCGCCGAGCGTGCGCGAGCGAGATGGGAATAAGACAATCTACAAGTAAAAAGAAATAGAATATGCGTGAAGTTAGCAGCTATGCCAAGAATTTTGAATGACCATAATGACCTTTGTAGTACCTTTTAAACAAATAAAGGAGTTTTAATTATTTTTTCAAAGAAATTTAGCAATGTTTTTTCACAAAGACCTATTGTTACTTAGTTAAAAGATTATGAAACATATCTAGTTATTAAATTGAATTAATAATATAATGAAATAATAAATAATTTTTAATATTTAAAAAAATAAAGAAAGCCGAAGAAATATAACTTCTTACGCGCGTACATAAGTGCACGCACCCTTTTTTTTTTAGTTCTAAAATTTTAGTTATAAATAATAGGGGTTGATGGTAGAGGGGTGAAAATTAGGGGGTGTATGTATTTTTATATGCTGTATCATAAAAAAATCAAAACAATTTTTTTTCTAAAAATAAAACTATTTTTTTTTTTGAGGTAGACACCCCTTATCACTTAGGGGTTTGAAAGATATATAGTAGCTGATTCTCAGACTTACTAAATATGCATATAAAAATTCATAAGAATCGGTCGAGCCGTTTCAGAGGAGTATGGGAACAAACATTGTGACACGAGAATTTTATGCATTAGATTAATTTAAAAGATACATGCAAAATATCGATATCGCGGACAATATGTAAGCGCCTACCTATTTTTTTTTTAATACAACTATATCAAAGTAAAGATGTACCGTTAAGGAACTTTCAAGTTGTAAGTAAGCAGTGGTATTTTTGGCATTAACCTATGTCTTTCTGAGAGGGTAGAACAAACTATTACATAAAGACTTTGATATTCTTATATAATTTAGTTATATAATATATAGAATACTTACAATCTGTTGCAGGGACACAAGGACAAGTGCGTGGGAGAACGTCGTAAAATCGAATGTATAAACGGAACGGTAGTTCATCTTGAGGGTACTCTGGAAAATAGGAAAAACAAAAACTACAGTTCAAAATGGTTTTCACCTATCACCTACATATTTTATTTCGATCCAACCATAGAAATATTTCAACTTATTCCGGATAAGGGAGCGTTCAAGTATTACGTCATTTTTGGAGATTATTGACCCCCATGTAACGCGCCGTAACGTTTTTCTGTACCCAAGTATACTAAAACGTTTCGTGACCACCTAGTGACTCTTTATACCTAAAAGTTAGCATTATGTGGTGTAAAGTACTGACGCGCCGAAAATAATATTAACAATAACGCGTAATTCAATCCCCGCCCCGCATCGTAACGTTTTACAAAAGGACCCATCCCAAAATTCGTAACGTAATACTTGAACGCTCCCTTATGGAACCCCTTATTCCCTAAGGGAACCGTGTGAAAATATGCCAAGTCTACAAATATATCTTGGAAATTCATAACACGAAACCTGTCACCTAATAAAACCACGTTACACAAACTCCCCTGTCATTTCCTTATCTTCATAATATGATTAAATGAGTGAGTTTGTATGCCTGTTACATCTCAATTGATTACAGTGATGAATCTTTAATAATTTTTCTTTCATAAAATCTTTTCTTAATAATAATAATAAAATTAAATTAAATTTAGTGAAACAGTTCCAACCATTCACGCATGATGCGATGATTAAGGAAAATAGAGATTCGTTTTTGTATATATAAATTTAAAACATCAATAATAGTCACCAATAACCTACATGCTCAGGAAACAATTTAAATTAAAGGCAAATTTGTATTTTTTCCGTGTCCTAATTGTAGATTTAATATATACTTAGCAAAGCCGAACGGAGAGCTCTAAAAATCACTTAGCATTTTTTTCATATAAACAAAATCGCAGGAATCCTCAAGTCTTTAATAAAAGGAAAATGAATATTTCGGTACGCCACAACCGTTTGACCTATCTGTCCCGTATAACAAGTAATTTTCTCCGTATTAGACTTTAGTAAGACGTGAGAAAAATTTGCACAAGCCAAAAGGAATTTCAGAATTAGGTCTTGGGTACATTGCTATATTATGTCCCGAGCTTTCAAAGGTTATAACAAGGCTTTTTGTTTATAAAAATCTACTTTAATTGCTTAGAGGTGCTCAAGATTTTTACTAGTTTAAGTGCAAGTATGTCGCGCTTAGACTACTCCAAGATTTTCGATGACTTTGTAGTTATTAATATCTAATAGTTATAAGGGATTTTACATGAGTATTGAGAGAACATGTATAAAAAGCAGGAGCTTTTTTACATACGTACGGATACATCTGAGTTTCACCTAACTTGGAATCGTACTTGCTTAATTTAAGGAAAACTTCAAAGATTAGGAATGGTCATATGACCGAATATGAATATGAACGAGCAGACAACGCGGCATTACATATTTGTTTTATTTAATTTCTCCCTAATACCTGACATTTGTTTTTATAATTTCAAACGTAATTTTTTTAAATACATAATATACATTCACGATAGACTAAGCTTTCTATAAGAAAAAAATACAAGTAAACTGCTCTTTCAGGCTTTTTAAGTCTATTAAGAATACGCGTAATACGTATACACCCTTAACTTTGTTCAACTCGGGACTTTATCCAGAAATTAGCCAAAGTTTTCAACAAAACTATTCACCGAGTTGAGTCGTTTCGGATCTCTTCATGTCTTTACAAGTTTTTTTGTTGTTGTTAATCATTAGAAGAAAAAAAAATAACTTTGATTTATGAAACACTTGCAGTACAAGGAGTACTGTCACCTCAAGCACCAACACCACGGATGAATCTTTCGACCATCAGACACACACAGTGATTCAAATTCTGGTCTTTCGGTCTATTCACACTGCGGCGGCGGTTCAATGTAATATTTTTCAATTTAAAATGTAACAACAAAAATCATTATAAAAACAAACATGAAAATGGAAAATGAGGGATCATAGAGATCTACATTCTACATTCATTACACGTGCTTCTAGGGTGACAATATTTGTTGTTGGTATCTTCATTATATAATTCGTAAAAACTGTCTTATTTCTTATATGATGGCACATATAGACTTTTTAATCTAGCCTTTAATGCCTTAGCTATGACTAGATGAAAGTAAAAAATACGATTGCGAAGTTTTAGACATACCAAGTCAAGGTTCTTAGGTTACCAGTCAGAGTCTAGATTTAGCGCTAATTACGACTTCCCTATGTTTTTGACACAGGGTAATCACACTCGGCGCATAGTCTCGATACGAACTGTCTCCAGCGTTGACAAACGGAATTATACTTAGCGCTAAAACTAGACTTTGAATCTTACCCTTAGGGCAATAGCATTTCTTCTTCTATTTTATTCATAAGTTACTAATTATGTGTCTTCTAAAAGTTTTGCCTGGATACCGAAAATACGTTAAATTAGTGTTAAGTAACTTCATAACACAGGATATTATGTATACAAAAATCTGGTCACCGAGTTACACCTATACAAATGTATCATGCAATGAAATTATGTTTACTAAAGGAAATCATTTTCTGTGTAGACAAAGGGCACAGTGATCAATGCCTCATCAAAATACAAAAGGTATCATTGTTTGAAGTTATTTAATTAAACACTACTAGAGTATTGATATATATAAAAAAAAGGGTGCGTGTACTTATGTACGCGCGTAAGAAGTTATACTTCTTTGGCATTATTAAAAATAGTTTGGCTTTGTTCCACCTCCAGTTTTTGATGTTTCACAGCGATAAGATGACAACTCTTTTTTTTGTATTCAATTTAGTGCACTTACACTGATTCATCAATTGTTTTTTGTCTCTTGTCCTTATATTTGCTAGAGAAAAATTACATGTTTTGATTAAACAATGTGGTAATTTTTTTAATCAAAACATTACTCGATAATAATAATACAAACTGATAGTTAACCTCAATTGTAATGAAGCACTTAGGAAGGTTGATGAGCACAGTTTTTTCACAAATATTAATTAGTATTGGTTTAAATATTCAATTTAAATCACTTCTGATTATATATAATTCAAAAAGCATTGCTAAATTTCTTTGAAAAAATAATTAAAACTCCTTTATTTGTTTAAAAGGTAAATGACAAATGTCATTATGGTCATTCAAAATTCTTGGCATACGAACTTCACGCATATTCTATTTCTTTTTACTTGTAGATTGTCTTATTCCTATCTCGCTCGCGCACGCTATAATCACACTCCTAATTTTGTGTCACAGGTGCGCGCGCATCGTAAAATTTCACTCTCATAAATTTTTCATAACGCGCCTAAAGAAGTATAACTTCAAAAATATATGGATTTATAGTACAGCCCACGTTCATTGTGAAATATAGACTTATTTTGATACGCCTTGTTATTGTAGCAGATATAAATTTAAGGTAATATAAAAAAGGTCATTGACATTTCGAACTTCCTGGAGTAAGTCACCGGGTTTATAATAACTTTAGGTTAACTCTAGGTTACTTTGTCGTATTTAATACGAATGTGGTATAAAATGTACTGGCATTTTTTCATCTATTTTGCGATTTATGAATAAAGGATATATTAAACAAAAATACATTTTTTAATTAACAATGGCAAATGTTGTTGAGCTTTCATTAGGAGTAGAGGGCTACTAGTACCTACTATACTAGTAGGGGCTGAAATCTTACCGTGTTCGTTGATAAGGTACGTATGTATGTTTACACTACATCTTGAGGTGTTCGATACATGCAACGCGTGCTGCGGGTCTGATTTTGACATCCTGAAATAAAATATTTTGAAATTGTATTTTGAAAAAAATTAAGAACTAAAAGGATTTGCTTTGACAGGAAAAACTGCACTGCAGCTATTTCAAGTGGGAAATAAATTTTCCTACACTAGCTCCCCAATCAAGACGAATCTAGTGAAATCTTTCACGTTACCGGAATTGACCGGAAAAGAGATTTTTGTGAAAATGAAGCATTATTTCCAAAGTAAATAAAAATGATAGATTAACGGAGCTTTAATGGTTTTTGTACTGTGGATACATATTTGTGGATGTGGGAGTTGTGGTGTGTTATGGATAAGGAGTGAGGATTATTTTGTGTATAGTTAAGCAAAGCTTCTAGCTCTGGGTTGATCTGGAATCTGGATGATCAAGGTGTCAAATTCTGTTCTGATTTGCAGGGAATAGGTCTCATAGAAACGATTTTGCAATCAGACAGAATCGGCAAGTGCGTGACCAGCCTATGTGTGCATGTCCCGAAACACGTCGTCGATTTTTTGTCTAGGACATACCTCACGACGTACTTCTTCACCAAGCAATTATAAATATAGTAAAAAATCATTAGTGTACTGCCAGGGTTGGAACGCATGACCGGGATCATGATTAGCATACCCAGCTAACACTGTTAGATTTTATTTATATGTGTTAAAATTACCACAATACAGCAGGTGTGTCATCATCCTGGTTTAGACCTTGCAAAGGGAAGTGCAAAGGTGGTCCTACAACTTCTATCCATACGTCCAAAACCAAAGCGTCCAAGTGATCAATCTATTGTAAAATTGTAGTCGAATACATTGCTATAGTCATTCTGAAAATGCTTATTATAAAGCCAAGTCACGTACATATTAATGAATTATCAGTTCCAAAAATAGTTACTCCTTTCTAGTTACTGACGTTTATATGAACTATTAAAAATTCTTATTATAGAAAAACGTATTTCAACTCCGTAATTCCACTCACAAAAATAGGATTTAAGAAGTAAATGGAACGACATAAAAATACGTCAATACTCTAAGTATATACCTATATATGAAGTTTAAAGTGTATGATTTTTCTAGAATCCCATCCTTAGATCTTGACTTGACCTTCAAATTGGACATGGCGTCTCCGAGTACTGGGTAAAATACTATATTATACCATGTATATATAATGAGTTGATATTGAGTACCTACACTTTTTTAGGTAAGTAAATCGACTTACTGTTTCGAAAGCCACCTATTTTCACTGGATTATTGTTTACCTTTATCAACACCTGGTCATGGTACAAGCCCCAGCAATCAGCGTATACACTAACGGTGATATATACTTGACCGCATGGTGATAAGATCCGCTGTGATGCTGCACATTCTATGACAATTCCTGGCTCTTCAACATCGCTTGCCCATTTATCTGCACATTATTAATTTTTTTTAATTAATTTGTCTTTTTTTTTTTTTTTTTTTTTTTTTTTTTTTTTTTTAAAAAAAAAATTTAAAAAATTTTAAAATTAAAAAAAAAAAAAAAACCAAATTTTAAAAATTCTATGTTTGAATTTTTATAACATTATTAAAAATAAAGGAAAAAAGTAATATGACAATTCTTATTTCACCATTCCTCAACAAGGTATAATAAAGGAACACAGATTATGAGATGTGTAAGTATTTTACAATCTTTAATAACGCTTTTTGTTTAAATGAAACAAAGCCCGCTATTGTTAACAACTTTAGAACTTGTATCATTTATTTCAAATCATTACAGATTTTGTAATTATTTGGATAAGTCTAGATTGACGCCGATACCATTATGTTATGGATAGCCAGAATCCATACTCGATACACTTAACTATGTTTATGTTATATGTTTATCCATTCACTTTAAAATACACCAAAATAACGCTGCTTAATATTTGACACACCATGTATTGTATTAAGAAAAAAAATATTGTACGTTCGTGTAACGGTACGTGAAACGCTTGAAATATTTCATTTAATCGATGGCAGATCTGTAAAATTCGATGACTACATATTTTATACTAGCAGAATTCGTGGCCTCAAATAAATCAATAGTATTCAAGAAGACGCGCGATTGAAGAGCGATTGGGTGCGATTCAGGACAAATCTTCAGCGCCCCCATCTGTCACGACTGGCAATGAGCTCGCTAAAGGTGGTTTTATTCGTTTGCTCGGAAATTGGAGACGTCTAGAATGAAGATACTCGAACATAATCAAAGCATAAGAAACTTAGTTTTTAAGGATGTTACATTTGGTAGAAACATTTACATTAAAGTTATAATAAACATTAAAGGCAATTAAAGATATCGTAACTTAAACTTATGTGCACTATAATAATGATACCATCAACTGGTCAGTATTATCATATTTTTTTTTTCTATTTCACGTTTACCACATCTAAACTACATACAAAATCCTTAATACATAAGTCCAGGTAACCCAATGGCATAATATTATCTAAAGCGCAATGATATATAAAAGTTGCATTCGGTACTTTAAAATATATTATATAATGTAATCATTTATTTTATATACGTAACTAAAATTGTGAACATGAATAAAGTTCAAAGATCACGAGTGAACGATCAAACCAATTTTGACCGCAAAAGGTCACATCGCCTTCAAAAGAAAAGATTTTCACGCGTCAAATGACGTAAAACAAGGAGGTGTAGGAAATGAGGTTCCTTCAAAGGAACAGGACGCGGGTGGACCTGTAATTGCGACTTTAGCTTTGGACTCTCATAGCTTTATCATAACAAGTGAAGTACTCTCACGACGTGAAATGTTTGTATGTACAATCTTATACGCTTGTGTTTTAAATTACAATTTCAAACTAATTTTGTCTTAAACTTCCCTTATCAATACGTACACGCTATATTATTTATTATTCGGTACTAAGTCTAAGACAGATACAATTATTGTCCTACATAGAAGTAGCCCAAAATTTGTAGCAAATTACCCGCTGAATCAATTACAAAGTCTAAAAAAAAACAGTTCCTTTTTTAGGATGACGATGATAAATTATCTAATTAAAATGCTTTAATAAAATAATATAATTTCTAAAGAAGCTTTAAAAACTATCCTAAAAGCTAGTATAAAATAGTAAATAGAATTTTCAACGTCTCTTTCAAATGGAAAGTGAGAAAATCGCTACAAACTTTTGCGGCGTGTAAGCCTTCAATCGTAAAGTTTTGAGAAAATATTGTTGTAGAACTTTTCTTTATTGAAGAGTTTATTAATAAAAATAATATGACAAATTTATATAAAATTTGTTCTGGATTCGATCTTGGCAAAATTGAGCCTGTGGTCAAACATGGTGTGACGATGGGATTTTTATTACTTAAATAATTTTAACAATAATGATCATATTAATAAATCTCTACACAGTATAAAATATTAAATCAAAGTCGCGTCTTATTTAGTCTAATCCCGTACATTCGAATTATGTACGTTGTAGTGATTCTAAAGATACACTTTTTGCGTTAGTTCAGAATATAAGCATAACATAATGGTTGGTTCAAAGAACATAATTTTACAATGGTTCATCACGATACTCAGCAGTTCAGTTCCGCGAAGTTTGTATCACCAAGGAGTTTAATAATGGTCTAAGATCTCGATATAGAACGACCTTCACCGAGATGCTTATTTAATGAAACGTATTTTATATTTAATTTAATATGTCAATAAATATAATCCATATGGGTTGCCTAGCAAATTTCAGTCCAGAGTATGTTTAATTAATAATTTAAAAAAAATATTTTTTAAACATTTCACCGGTATGATTACTAGATAAATTCTATACCAATCGAAACTATGAAGCCCATAGAATACGCAAACTTTAGGTTGTCTATTCTTTTCCGGTCACAACTATCGGGTTGCCAGGTATAAACAGGTAAATCTGTACTAGCATTTTGCAACGGTCTGTTTATTGAATGAAATTTAAATGAAATTAAAGATTATACTTCAATCTGTATATTCAGTGGTTATCACACTGACTTTTTATTAATGATTACATTAAATATCAATTCCTAATACAAATAACCTTACATTATGCAAACGTTGCATAAACTTTTATCAGATTACGCTTTTCGGTTCCCACGTGAACCAAATGGTACCGGGAAAAAATAGGAATTCAAAGTTCTCTTTATCACTATTATGTCGTAAATATAAAAATAAAACGGAACAAAATATTCTGTAAGTATTTTATTTGAGTTGATCAATCCGACTGTTCAACTCTAACAGCAAACCCCTAAAGCATTTGTTCATTGTAATATACATATATTCTTTATAGCGTATAGTGAAATAAAACGAAATATAATTGTGTGGCCATAGGTCAGAATATGATAAATGCAATTTCATTACTTTACACGACAAGCAATTAAATTATTATGAAATCTTGAAGGCGCTGTTAAAATATGAAACACTCGATATATGAATGAATGTACCAACTTATCATTGTCTGATCTATGACTACATAATTACAAAATGTTTAGTTTTCGAATAAGAAATATCTGTGTTTAGTATTCCCGTCTCGTAATAGTGATTAAACGAAAAGAAATCGAAATCGTCCCGATGTAATTACGAAGTCTAGACAACTTCGATGTGTAAAAAATGTACACAAAATGGTGGAGACCTTTATACTCATGTAATTTAGGATAAATAAAATTTGGTGCTAATAGTTGTTTTGAAAGTTAGGTATGGAAAAGTTATCGTGGCAATAACATATCTATAAAACACCAGTTACCGAAAATATACGTAGATTTGGAGCGAAAAGCAACTTTAATAGCGATATTATTTCCATTTGTGTTATTACTACCCTGGCTTAGTTCGTAAGCGTAAGTATCTTAAAACCTCTTTCTTAATAATCATAAATTTAATTTTTCTTTAATCTCTGTTTTGGTAAGTTTATAAGTTGGTAGTTGTCTATTAATATCAAGATTTCTTTGTTTTGTTATAAATTGCGAACCTTTCGCACTCTGGCACTTCTTTACATTTTTTTATTGCTTTTTTAAAATTAGGGTTGTCTAGAAAAGATCGCTTAATAGCGATAACGCCGCCCATTGCAAGAAGTTTTTTAAGTGTATTGTTAATTTTGTGTTGCGATAAGTGTAAATAAATAAACGACAGTGCGTATAATCCAGTTCGATTTGGGTACGATCGGCCTTGTAATCTAGACTTACTTGATAGTAAAGAACTATTTTTATGTATTTATTTATATTATCAGGACTTTTCCCGAACGGGTAGGCAGAGACCACGGATCTCCACTTGTTACGGTCCTGGCATACCTCTCTCGCTTCATCCACTTTCATGACTTTCACCATGCATGCTCAGCGGTTATGGGTACTTTTACCTTGTCCCTTATCTAGTACCCGGGTTTGGTCCAGGTATGTATGACAAGGCCTACCTACCCAATCCGATTTCATCATCCAAGTTTGCCTTGTATACTTGTTAACCGCTTCTCATTCATCCGTTCTACATGGCAAAACCATCTGAGCATTCTCTTTAGTATCCTATTTTAATCCACAGCTCGATAATGAATAATGATATAAATAAAGCTTTCACCTTACTTTCAGAAACACGTCACACGTCCCATGGTTATCGCAAAACTTGTACAAAGCACAGTGTATGTGTGTTAATAAATCACGTAGCTTTGATGTGATTGGTCCAAAAGGTGCCTTTATCCAATCGCAATCAAGCAACACCATCTATCGATTTGTTTTTAAAAGTGCATTCCAGCGTTTTCAAGATCCTACTGGAAAGAATATTACTTCGAACAAAATAATTTTAAGTTGCATTTGTTTTGCAAAATTTATAGAGGCAAGAAGTTATTTGTCAGTACATAGGTCTAAAGTAAACCAAGCTGACCTAGATTCACCTGACTATCGCTAACGTAACTGAGAATGAATATTTCAACGTATTTTAGAGGCCAGTATTCACAAAGAGCGCACTTGAAGGAAATGAGTGCATATTATGTTGCAGATAAAACGAATAAAACGATTTTATTCTATTATATTCTGTGGGCGAATTTAATTTATAATACTCACCACATTGACAACCGTATTTTTTCTGTGAAATGTAAATATTTGTACGGAAAGACCGTTTACAATTTTGACAATTATTATTCAGATACATTACCAGTGTTGACAAAAATGATACACTGAGTTTATATGGATAAAAGATTCTATAATATTGAATATAAAGAAGTCTTATACTACTTTTAGAGACAAAAGATACTTAAAAATTAAGAGTGCGAAATGGGAAAATGTCTTATTTGCTACGCGTTATTTTATTTATCCACAAAAATCAAACAAGTATCAAGATGATGACTGTCAAATGACGTAACAGTGTTGTCAACAAAATAATTGAATTTTGCACTACCACGACCCCAAATCTCGTGACACTTCTGGCAGAGACTTCACTAGAATATCCTAGATTTTTGGGATTTGCTGGTATTCCTGTGGGCTACCTAGTGCCTCAAAACAATATGAACAAAAGATTATTTTAAAACGGAAAAACCTTATTAAAAGCTGTGACGTCATGTGAAACACAAAGCAACAATACATCTTTACAAAAACATAACGGTCTCATATTTATTCCAAAGACATGATAAATCCCAATTTTACTACTTGTCAGCAACACATACATTATTTGCAAAGACATCTCCATTGCGAATGGCAACGCGGCCTTGACATCAACACAACAGAGGTTAGTTGAAATTAAATTTAACAAGGCGTTCTTACCTTATTTGCCCTTTCATCTGGGGTTAACTTCGTAAGGACACATTAAAATTGACACGGTCGTCTAAATACAATTTCTTGTTAAGAGTTAAAATATATTATTTGATATGAATTTGATCTATTAATAAGTATTATTATTTAGTATTACGTGTATATGTGGTTATTTTATGGTAACTACTACCTCTTGTGAATGAATAATAATATAATATATAATATGTTATTGCTGTTAGTAATTTAAGTAATGTTTCAGTTTTGCACTGTTCATCTGTTAATCTTGTACTGTTTGGAATTACATAAAAAACTTATAATTTTTAACACATAAACTTACCTATGTTAATGGTTTTCTTGTGCACTCGTGACCATCTACGGACAGCAGTTGTTATTTTCGCAGATATTGATGACACATTTCGAATTGTAATAACCCTAGATCGAACTGTAAGAAAATGTTATTCATATTTTTATTTAATTTCTTTTTTAAAATAGTATTCATTTTGTGTTTTAACGCGACTCATGGTTAACTATTACGGCTTTTACAAGTGCGTTGATAGTTTTTCATATTAAATTAAGACCCAAATCTTAAGTGTTATCACTTTTATTTGGATTTGCGTAAATCTTTTCAGTCACCACTGTGCAAGCTTATCGTTCGTAATTAGTTAGAACAAAAGCTCGCAATGCTTTATGTGGTAAAACTGAATAAATAATGAACGGAATAACGGACTGTTTGCAAATACACACGACAGTTTGCACTTCTGTTTATTACCAATTTTAGGAAACTGTAAAGAGGTTGAAAATTCGATTTTTTGTGGTATATTTTATGTGTAAAGGTGATTTATTATTTAAAAAGGCTTTTGGGATCTGAATACAAATGAAGTAATCAATAGGTACTTATTATACATGTAGTAGGTATATGTATTTAGTTGTTGTATACCTTAGTTAAAAAGTTTATAGGAGCTTATTCTATTAACAGTTTTGGTGCTTTATTTGACATAATATGTCATATGCTGTAAGTATATGAATTGAAAAATTCTCAAAAAACACCAATTTAAGAAAGGACATACTTATTTTCTGCAAAATAATTATTAAATCTGTTCTCGTTTAATTATACTAAATTACAATGTTTTACCAGTTTTAAGGGGGATACTTCTAAATTGAAGGCAATAAGTCTCCGTAGGCTCAGGTAGTATTGGCTTTGTCTTGTATGCACATGGACAGACACGGGTTAATGCTGGGGGTTCGGTGACTGTGGAAAATATTATTACTTACTGTTACAAATTCTTGAGAGTATTCGGTTAAGCTAATACAACTGAATAAATCTGTTGTACAAGTTTTGATGGTTTGGTTGATTAATATGTATTGACTCTGAGAGAAGTCCCAAAAAGTCCGCCGCCAAGTTTGGTTGGTTATGCGCTAGTAGGGTAAATCCGGGGAGCAGGCTTAATGACCGGCTGACGTTATAAAAGTCGCCGTAACGAGCTTTAAGCCGCCCACCTGGGAAGGCGAGGTCCCTTACTACGTTCATCTCTCACAGGCCGAGGTCTGGGTCTCGCAGTAGATGTCCTTGTGCAAGGTATAGAAAAAGTACTTCAGACCAATGGCGAGATCCCATTAAAAAAAACGGCCCCTTACAAGTAGCATCAAATATTGTTTCGAAACTCCTACATCCCAGGACTCGTGTGTATATATTTTATTTTTACATCATAAATCACTTGTTGTAGACGTGCCTTTGGAGTTTTCTTTCAGTAGTTCCAGATAACACTGTTAATTATATGAACTTACTAATATCCACGCAATGATATTCTTCATCGATGTCTTGAGGCGGTGACTCCTTCACCGGCGGAATGTACATCATTTTATACCGACAATGGCACATGTTTTCTGTAAGTTTATAAAACGCAGCTTTATTATATTATGTTTCTAAATTATTTATATTTTATTGGAACAATATTTTTGATCTACAGCAATCGAAACTAGATGTACTAAGAAAAAAATTTCAAAGGCTAAGTTTGAAGGGCAGTCACCCCCCAATAATGGTGATCGGAACAAAGGTGATGTTCGGGCTGAGGCTTGCCACCCTTAACAATTATATATTATTACGGATAATTAATTATCTTAAACCGGAACCCGAATTTCTTTATAGTAATAAAATATCTAGGAATGTTTATTTATTGATTAAATAAATGTTTACTTTAATAGAAATCTGATCGGCATCTAATGTGACTTACGCATACCTGGACATACTTAAAAGTAACTTTTTGTTACTGAAACTATTAACGTATTGCATGAAACGGTGCAATAAATGCAGCAGCCATTATCATTGGGGTTGCGAATCTAAAGGAAATGTACCGTTAACTTTGGCTTAGATAAAACCGTACGGATTTTAATATAATTGTCTCTAGAACGTACTGCTAGTTGATCGCCTAGTTTCTTAAATAAACTGATTAATAAAATAAGTTTGAGAAGAGACATGTTAGACACAAGGTTTTGTGGGGTCATGTCAGTTTTAACAGCTAATGTTATTTGGTAATTACTAAATAGCCAGAATAGAGATATTAACGTAGACTGGCTAGAAACAGTATCTATACTAAGTATAAATTAAAGCTTAAGCGCTTGCTTGGCTGAACGCGCTTATCGAAGAAACTACTGGTTGGAATTGAAGAATTATTTCGTGATCGTGGTAATTAATATCATGCTACAATTGATTTAACGAGTGAAACTGTACGGCTAATGTATGTACAAAAACTAAAATTAAATATTAAACGATCATTTATGTAGTTATTTAGGCGATTACAATATGTATAATGAAATTTATTTTAAAACATTCAGTGCAAAATATCTGTTTGATTCTTGTTCTTGTTCTGATTGGTAGCGTATTCGTCTCCTACAAATGTTGAACTTTCTATTAAAGTATTTTTGTAACTACTATATTTTAATAAAAACAGTACTGTTAAGCAAGGAAACAAATATAACCATTTCGCAAAGCCCGCTTTCGGTCTTCTTCTTCGAAAAACTCTTTGGGTGATAAGTTTTTCATATCTCTTGATGTTTCTTTCTGGAACAAAGAAATTATTAACTCTCTCAACTATTTTAATTAAATATTTCTGTTTTTTATTTTTTATTAAAATTAATATTATTGTTGGCAATTCTGATATTCACGACCTTAAACCTAAACGTAACTTAAATGAGTTCATAATATCTTTTTTCGTTTTTAATATCTATAACTGAGTTAATATTATAGATAGTAAAAAACCGAGTACTCTAATGAAAGTACTAGCTTTTTCATTATTATAACAATGCCGATAAACTCCTTTCATCTTTAATCTCGACTTTCATTACTCAAAACCTCGATTAAGGTAATTTATTATTTAGATAAACATTCTAATTATCTTGCCTTTGAACTTTCCCTGTAAACATCTTCAAATTCAAAATATTTGCTAAACCTAATCAGGTGACAAAGCTAACATCCGATTTCCATAATTATTTACTAAATATGATTACGTACTTGGTGTGTACAAATTGAAATTAATTACACGTTGATTAATGTTTCATTAAGTGAATTATTTGTGAACATATAGAAAATCGAAGCCATTATATTTATTTTTGTCGATCGAATCTAAAGAAACCAGAAGTATAACGCTCAAGTTTATTTTTCCTTGTGTACATAATTCTTCCGTCTTCGCTTAAACGAAATTAATAGGAGTGCAGGGTTTATTAATCTACGAATATATTTTCTGATAAAATTTAAAACGATGATATGATGATACTCTATTATGATGTATTAACAATTGAATTCTTCGCGATTATAACGGATTAAACAGTACTTATCCGGAGCTGGATATATTCGGTAGTGGGCTGATTAATTTTAAAGAAAGCATTGTTAATCTTATGAAACCTATTCCGCTTTTTTGCTGGTATTTTTTTCTTCATAACAAAAATTGCTGGTATTTTTATTTTATATTTAAATTTAATAATTTAAATTTTTTGTAAGATTTATGTTTACCATAATTGTCATATATTTGAGATAAAAGAACTTGAACATATACCGTAGATATAGTGTATGTATGATGTGGTAAACATGAATAAATAAATAAGTGAAATAAAAATAAATTAACAATAATATTCCAGTTCCATAAGTTATCTTATCTCTTTACCCGTAGCTTTTAAACTTATATTTATGTATATGACCATTGATTATTTCTCTATGTATATATATACATGTGCCTCAGAACCACATTGCTGAATTTCAGTGCTAATTGTTCTATGTTTGTCGACTGTACAAAGTTTGAATTGCGTATACCTACATAGCATAATATCAAGGTGCCCTTCATAGGTGCCAAATACAAGGCATTAAAACTGCAGAATCGGTGTCTTTTGAATATTGATCGAGTTAGCCTATAAAAGTAAACGTTTAAACGAATTTTTGTGCTTTTTTACATGGCCATAAATATTAATGCTAGGACACTACTGAGAATATTTTTTATTGTTTTTATTGCAATTCATCACATTTACATATATCGACGTTCAAGTATTTTGTTTAATCTCGCTGACTAATACACATAAATTGTATACACATTTCGCATTTATATCCGTTAAAGAAGTTTTACTAAAATCGCTTTAATCAAATACAATAATATCGAAAGATATTTAAACGTACTCTATTTCCCTTTCCACAGACCTCTTTAATCTGTATATAACTAAAGGGATACTTCATTTCACATAAAGATATACATCTATTGATCGTAAAGGCGCATTACCAGCGATAGTCTAAGCTGATTGTTACAATCTATAGGCTATTATTGAGGAGCAATTAATTTTAATTATTCCCGCAGCAGCAAAGGGATAATAGTGTTGTGATATTCAAATACGAATCGGGAATTGAGTTTAGCGTGAATTAGACAAGTCTTGCTAATTTAGCTATCTGTATGGATAACCATTAATTTCTACGATATTTCCAGCTAAATTAGAGTGCAATTGAAACATAATACGTCAATAATTAGTATTGAAGACAATTATTTTAATATTTTTCCACATTTCCATTTTAAGCCATTCCCTTTGTCCCTCACGCGTTTTACAATTTCGTAATTAGCTAACCTGTGATTAGTGATTCACAAACAGGACATATTCAGGCTAATTGGTTTTGTTTTGTAACAATTTGTATTTGGTCAGAGTGGAAACCTATATTTATTATGTAAAACTATTTTAATTTTGTGTTTGGTTTCCGAAAAACATTTTAGGTAGCGCACATTATAGCTACCGTACCAAATATGGAAATAAGGAAGCAATGGTTGTACCATTGTACCGCAGGTGTGCCGCAATAATTAAGCATGATTAAAAAATCATACTTCACAAACTTGCATGCGTTAAATAAGAGGAAAGAGCAGTGTTGGCCTAGTGTCTTCAGCGTGTGACTCTCATACCTGAGATCGTAGGTTCGATCCCCGGCTGTGCACCAATGGACATTCTTTTTATGTGCGCATTTAACATTTGCTCGAACGGAAAACATCGTGAGGAAACCGACATGTCTTAGACCCAAAAAGTAGACGGCGTGTGTCAGGCACTAGAGGCTGATCACCTACTTGCCTATTAGATTTAAAATGATGATGAAACAGATTCAGAAATTCTGAGGCCAAGAACTCAAGAGGTTGTAGTGCCTCTGATTTATTTAAGAGGAAAGGCAGCAATACTTCTAAAAAAACTTAAAGATCAATAGATTTTATTTTTCATAAAATTTCACCAAATTAAAGGCAGGCACCACACCTTTTACAAGCTACTGCAAAAATGAATTTGGTTTACAATTACCAGTTATCGTTATGTATTATCAAATATACAGTTCACTATAAGCGGTGCCAAGGCTACTCGTGCATTATTTCAATTCCGGATAAACGATTGACTCAATAAGACGTGATCACTGCAATGCTCAAAGATTTACTTTAGATCTTCCTTATAAGACCAGAAGAATAGACACAATTTAAGATCATGATACTTCGAATTGTATAAGATTATCATACATCCCTTTTTATATAAACAAGATAAACTATATGGGCTCACGATTTCTCTTCCGATTTAGTTCACTAAACAAACGTATCTGATTACGCACCCAAGGGCTATACCCAAAATCCACGAACGCATTTTTTTCAAGTGTTTCATTATAGTGCCTTCTTCTTTGTTCATTAATTTATGTCATGCCTGTCTTGAAAAGCCTTTACAGACACATTGACTTGCTGCCTCCACACGCTCTATCCTCTTGTTTCGGAGTATTGTGATGAGACCCATAATTCTGGCAATTTGGGTTGGGTTGCCAACGGGTTGGCGATGGACTCTGACCTCTCCTGCTGTCACTTCTATCTAAAGTAGGTAAGCTACCGTGTTAGTTGACCATCTTATGGTGATCTTTAGTTAGTAATTTATAAGACAATTTATTATTATTTATAAGTAAAATATTAGGCAAACCAAGTAACGTACTTTTATAATGACATTATTTTGTAAAGTATGATATTTAATAATATCAATGGACTAAAAATCAATTTCAATCAAGTTCGATAACTTTCATTCTAACAAAGAGCAGACCGTCGAACGCAAATGCAGTATGTGCCGGGAATTGCCCAAGAGAATAAAATATATTGAAATCTATCAAGTTTCTCGTCTGGTATAATGTGTTATACCTTTGTAACTTGTATCCAAAAATATACATGAAAGAGAAATATGTCATAACATCTATTTTGTATTCTCGATTTCAATATAAATTATTCACTTATGCGTATCTAATAGATTAACAATATTTATTTTAGTCATAATTAATAGTTGACTTAGTAATAATGGAATACAACAATATGAAATAAAAAATTATACCAATTAAAGGTTATATGTTTCTTTATACTTTATAAAAACGAGTTTATAGTATGGTGGAAATATAAACTTTTTACAGTTTTCTGTCCACCAGCGCGTCGAAAAAATAGTACAACTTATTTACGAATATGCTGTACACGTAACATAACAAAATTAAAATTGTGTGCACTACATTACAACATTATTACATTATACTACATTCTAATATGTGTTGTAAATATTAGATTGAAAACAATCAGCTTAATTATTATGTATTTGTAGTTGTATACAGTATTACATAGGTACATAGAATACTCTCCATTTTAGTTCTCAAAACTGTGTTACGGCAAAAATCTAAATTCTATGAAAAATAATAAACGTATTTTTTAGAAATTAGGAGTAGAATTTTATATAATATAATCAAGGCATTTGAAACATGAATTTACCTATTTACTTGAGGAATTCACGTTTGCTTTTAAACTCAAAAGTACGTTTTCAGGATAGCACTTTAATTCACTGTACAACGAATGTATCTATTAAACACTTCCCTTAGTACCGTATCATCAGTAGTAAAACTAGTTAATGGGTTGAAAAATAGTTTTACTACTGTTACAAAGAAATGTGTGTTTTATTAGTTCAAGGAGTAATAGACTCGCCAACTGTAATTGTATTTAAAACTACGACTATTAAAGGCACGTGTCGTGTATTAGAGGTTAAATAACGGTCCGGAAGTGCCACGTTCTTACCAGCAAAACAATAATCGTTTAGCGTTTAAAAACGTTTCTTTTAAAAATTATGAATGAAAGACGGAATTTATCTGTCATGCTGAACTGGGGAATAACGGATCTACAACACACAATTTTATATACTTATGCACGTATAAGAGGACTTAAAAAAAAAAGTATCGCTACATTTTAGGTCTGCGACTTAGATTTCTTCATCTGTTTCGTTTATTTGTTTATTCTAATAGGAAAGTTGATGAGCCTTCTGCGCCTGACATACGTGGTCGACTTTGCCTGCCTTACGACTTTTTCCTTTACCGTACAAGTAAAGCACACATAGACAGATAATTAGTGCTCAGCCGGGGATCGAACTTACGACCTCCGGGATGATAGTCTTACGCTGTAGCCACTCGGCCAACACTACTTTACGAAAAACCAAAACTTAATGTATATAGGTGGTTTTTTACGCCTTTAATATATATATTTTAACAGGTTCCCGGTCATGAGCTAGTTTTTTAATAAGGGTTGAATTGAATCTTATTAAATGAGGGTTTCAAAATGCTTATCTGCTCCATTCGGTAAATTGTGATCCTGGACTAAGCCCATGCTGATATTGGGGTGGTATCCCATTTCAACACACAATTAAGTAAATTGGATATCTGGTTACATAATACATTGTTTTGCACTTCACAAGTTGATTTTTATTTCGGTAATTTATATTTGCTTTTTAGATACAAAAAGGGGAAATGTTTGTTTAACCCTTTTATATATCGTGTTGGCCTAGTAGTTTCAGCATACATCCTTGAGGTTGTAGGTTCGATCCCCGGCTGTGCCAAGGAACTTTCGGTCAGTCTATTTTACACTCGCTCGTAAAAATTCAACGGTGTGTGTCAGGCGGCGCCTTATCATCTTTTAGAAAAAACAAATGATTACGGAAATCGCTTAAGCCCCAGTCTTTTATACACGTGTTAATACTAAAACATACCTGACCTGATTTAGATAATTTGGTGTGTGCATAGGGAATTTTAAATAATTTATATAACGTAAAATTATTGATAACATGAATGTTCGTGATCGACACTTGTGTAGTAACAATTCCGTACTTAAGAATTTTCCTAATTTACTCTCATTGCTTGAAATCGTCCAATAACACAAATTAATTTTCAATTCAAAGTAATAAATTTAGGTGCATAAAAGTCATGGAATTTTCATACGATATTATGTTATAGAGAAGAATATAATTATGAATACACGATAGTTGATAGTTCGAATTTTTTTAAAGAAATTGTCATCGTCAGTTTATTGTTTATTTATAGTTGTAAATTACTTAGTTTACAAACACCTGTTGAAGCCATTACGGAAACTTGTAACTCGTGAAAAATAGCCTCGAGAGACTTTTAGAGAACATTTAATAAATAGAAAGAAAATGTTCACTTCTTTTAATATTAATAATAAAAAACAGAGATATCATACGATACTAGGCTACCACTATAATTGTGTACATAGGTAGAAAGATCAAACACACGTCCTTTTGGCGAATAGCCGCAGCCATAGCCGCCAGAGTAATAATACTTACTTCTTAATATGTATAATTCTTGTAGATAAATTTTTCACGAACTCGGTATTCTGACAGTACCAAGTTTGTATATCTTTGAAGCAGTTATGACTGTAAAGAAGCATCCTAAATTATTTAAAACATATAAAGAAACTTGCTTGTATATACCGAGGGATCCAAAACGGCTGCGGGTGCCTGCATGTTGCACCGCGCTATATTCAAAAAATTGTTACGCCATGGGTGTGAGAATATTTAATCACCTTCCTAGAAATTATAGATCGCTGCCATGTAATGTTTTCAAGGTCAAGGTGCTTTTATAGCGTGACCGAATATGTAGAACATAAGTTTAACAATTACTTATAAATGACTTGACTTCTTATTATGACATTTGCATGCCTATTTATATATGGCTGATTGTGCGGATTTTTCTTGTTGTTCGATTTTTTATTTTGTACCACTATCTTCGCAAATAAAGGATTTTTACATTTGGTTATTATAAACGTGTAAATATAATAAATTTCAAAGATTTTAAAAGGATAATGCAATTATATAGTTAATATTTTTTCCCTGCTGCTTCGATCTGAGTTATATTTTCTATTCTTAAGTCTTTAGTTTTAAATTTTAATTAATTGAATATGTACTGTACTAGTTTAAACCCTTAAGTAGTTTTTTGGTATTTATAATATGTAAATAAAAAATAAGGGTGCGTGTACTTATGTACGCGCGTAAGAAGTTATACTTCTTTGGCATTATTGAAAAAAGTTTTTGATTGCATGCAAATAATTAATTACAATTAAATAATCAAAGACTGGAAAAGGAGTCATTATAGGAAATAAAGAAAAATTAAAAATTCGAATGTTGTTTTTAAATTATGTCCAATGCCGTAGCATCTTCCGTGGGCAACTTCATTCTGTTAATTTTGTGTCACGGTGCGCGCGCATCGTAAAATTTCACTGTCATAAATTTTTCATAACGCGCCTAAAGAAGTATAACTTCAAAAATAAAATACAAATACTTGCTTATTATTTAATACAAAATACGCCACATGGCCAACTCATATCATATTTGAACGGGCAACAAGTTACAACAAGAACTGCCTTAAATTGGTTTAATTTCACATATGCCTCAAGTTTGATAATAAATTCAGTCATATTGCCGACTGTCCCAATAATGTTTATTTAATTTTGACAATTGACAACCGTGTCTAAATCATTAATTTTTAGCATCAAAAGTATAATTTTGAAAAAAAACGAATCGTTGCGAAAGCATTAGGTGCATTGCGCATCAATGCTTCATTAAGGATTATTTGCAACCAGCAAGAGCATACTTAGTTTGACAATTAACATCTTGCATATGTAACTAATAGACAAACAGTCTATTAGTTAGTAGAACTATATCTTAGTTACGCGAATGGCGTATAAGCCGTTAGCTATTCCCTTTGAGTGGCAACACAGAAATTCAAACCACGTCGAAATTTCATTTCTTCTCCCTAAACGCAACGTAAAATCTTAAGCTATCTAACATATAGCGTATAAATGTGGTGTTTAAATTATTAAGCTTTGTTGTTCTCTCACCTCCATCATTTTCATAGATACAAACGAATCCGTGTTTTCAGCGCCACCTAGCGGTATATCGATGGCAACTTCCAGGCCCTGAAAATTGTTTTCATCAATTCAAAAATTATAAATTTTTAGTACAACGAGCCAATGGGTTTTAATTTAAATGTGCGAAATTAGTATATATGATAAATTTGTAGGGCAGCCAAATATCGGGTGTGTATCAGCATCGACGGCTGAAAAAACAACACACTATCCAAGAAAAGTCTTGTCCTCCCTTGTCTATGACAAGTTGTGGTTTTATGATTACGCGACACGCATACATATTAATTATATATGCAATAATTTTAAACAGTTTTTAGAGAAGTTATTATTTGCAAATAAGTGAACCGATAAATTTACTACCGAAGGTAACCCAGTGAACTTTGTATCACCTACATATATTTGTGTCACAACTAATTACACAATTTTTAAAACAGACCACGGAGCGGACCTCATACTATGAAATAAAAATTTCTGATACTATAAATCATCTATAAAATATATGAAAACAAAGTCACAAATTCTTATTTCTAAAATTATATCAAATAGTTTCCAGCTAGGAACAGTTTTTATTGGAAAATTCAATTGTCGTTTTTAGTAATTCTCTTTACTTATTATTTATATTTCCCACAGTTTAAACCTTCCCAGAACTTCCACAAATATTTCAAACTCACAATTAGCCAAATCGGTCCAGCCATTCTCAAGTTTTAGCGAGATAAACGACAACATTTTTAAATGTAACATAAGTTAAGCGCATTTTTATTTCTTTTATGTTTGAATATTATTCAATTTGTTTTATTTACTTATAAATTATGAAATTACTCTTTTATCCTTACTTATTATACCACGTAGCTCCATCTCATGCTTTACTTAAATGTTATATGTATATTTTTAAATAAGGGGTTTACGCCTAATATCTATTATACGTCGATAAAGATACCCATAATTCCGTCGCAATGCTGACAGGGATAAAACCTTGCTGACGTTAAGTAAAATTAATGGACCGATAACTACAACATATAGCCTAACAGTGATGTGGTATAACATTTCAGCAATGCGTAGTGTGGAACCCCGTAATTCTATTAACGTAATGCCAGTGACGCAAGCTTAAACGAATATATTTGCAATTATGGCTTTCTGATAGATAAATCCCAACCTCGGAATAGATGAGGTTGAAAAATTATATTCGAATTTTGAAATACAAATCGCTCCTTTTATGTTCACACGCATGCAATATCTATGAAGTGCATCAGGAGGTACACTTCGTGGTTCCATTTATCTAGTACGTGATCCAGGGCAATTTTGGTGGTATTTTTATGTTCTATTTTTGTTATATTTTCGCAAGTATAAACCATATTAGAAAATATCTCTTTTTGTTATTTTATGGCTATTCCTTTATTCTTTCTTTTAATATCTTTTAATGAATATTTTATATATTATCATGCAGCTGTGTTCATAATGTTGCATATACTTGTAAAAAAATATATTATATTGACGGTATGAAATATTTGAATTTAATAAATTCATTATCTTCTCTCCATTCATGAGATATAACACTTTCTGTTTCACATTACTCCATTTGTAATATCATTTCATTCACGCATGCCTATTGCCTAAAGCTCACACTTTGTCAAAGTGGCAGAAATTGATTGGTAAATCGAACCCAAGAAACCCCTTGCGGGTGACAAAGATGTATCTTATAGTATTTTTATTGTGGACTCAATAAAAGCTTATGTCTTTAAGAGGTTTTATTTATTACTTAAATGATTGCCTGCGTAGCATTCGAGATATTCCACATACATATAGAATAGTATTCTAGAATGGCAATCAAATTTAAATCTAGTAAGAGCTGTCAAACCATTTTTTCTATATGAAGTTTGACAAATTTGACAGCGATAAAAACGAGATTGTGACTTGAGATACGAATAAGAAAATGGACCTAAGTCTGTGAGAATAGTCATGTCAAATTTACTTCAAAAGTCAAATTAGTTTTTGCCATGTAATATGTCACTTTAATATTTCGTTACCTGTGTCCCTTTTCATCGTATACGTTGATTATATACTTAAATCTTTATAGTTTCACTAGCTGACCTGGCAAACGTCGTTTTGCCATGTAAATCATTTATAATGAAAAATAGGAGTTGATCGTAGAGGGGTGAAAATTAGGAGTTGTATGTATTTTTTAATGCTGTATTATAAAAAATAAATTTTAAATTTAAAAAATAATAATTTAGGGGTACCCTTAACATTTAGGGGGATAAAAAAGATAGATGTTGTCCGATTCTCAGACACAACCAATATGCACACAAAATTTCATGAGAATCTGTCAAGCCGTTTCGGAGGAGTTTAACTACAAACTCCGCGACACGAGAATTTGATATATTAGATTTAAATACAAATCCTAGAGCAGTCTTTTAAAGTAATAGTTGTGTCCATTTCATCATTATTTTTACAGAGACGGACAAATATATCAATACATAAAACTTACCGATACAGCAGCATCAATGAGAAGATGGACTGGTTGATATGCATGGCCAACCATTGCGTGTACGCTGTATATACGTCGGGGGCTCACTTTTCGCGGATCTAAAACAACCTGTCAAAAAATTGCATTATTAATTATATTTAAGTGATAAGGACCCTAAATTATAAAATATAATAAGTAATTGTTATGTAAACGCGTTGTACTCGTAATCTGGTATCAGTGTATTTTATTTGTTACCAAAGACGTGATGTTTTTATTCGCCACCACAAAGACCCCATATTTTTGTATGTTTTGGCCGTCTATGCGGAAAGAACCGTCGTAGGATTCGGTTGCTAGTAGTGCTAAATTACCTTTTTAGTTATGGTGACAATAAATAAAATAAAAATAAAATAAAAATAAAAAAGCCTTTTATTTCCAGTATTATATAAGTTTACACTTTTACAATTTATTTTTAGTGTTAGTTCATGTTATTAATCTATATTAGTTAAAAAATATATACATATATATTCCTTTTAAATATTTAATCTACTGGAACCCCAAGTTGGGTGTAGGCCTCCTCCAGTGACGCCCATTTATCTCTGTCCTCGGCCACTTCACTCCAATTTCGACCAGCTATCGTTTTAATGTCGTCTTCCCATCGCGTAATAGGTCTACCTTTTGTTCTTTTGCCTAGTGGGCCTTTCCAGAAAGTTACTTTTTTAGTCCATCTATGGTCAGTTAGCCGGGCAACATGTCCTGCCCACTTCCATTTCAGTTTTTTTGCGTAGCTTAAAGCATTTGTTGCTTTGGTTATTTTTCTTATTTTAGTATGGCGTATTTTATCTGATTTTCTGATCTTTAGCATACTTCTTTCGAGTCCTCTCTGACAGACGATTATCTTTTTTCTTGTTTCAGCAGTGAATTTCCACGTTTGGCAACCATATGTCAAACAAGGCAAGAGGCTTGAATTCATGACTTTGGTTTTAATGTCTTGTGGTAGATCACCTTTAAAAATTTCCTTGAGACCCCAAAATTTGTTCCATGTTAATTTTATTCTTTTCTCTATTTCTGTATTTTTATTTTTTCTGTGAAAACTTATGGTTTTTCCCAGATAGACATAATCTTCAACGTATTCCAATGGCTTGTTATTGATTGTTATTGGTCTTTGAGAGCTGTTTGTCATTGTCTTAGTTTTTGTAATGTTCATCTCTAGGCCTACTTTTCCACTAGCTTGGTTCAGGGTTTCTACCATGCTCTGTAGTTGGGAAGATGACTCGGATAACAGTACTAGGTCATCCGCGAATCTCAGGTGACTCAAGTAAGTACCGTCTATGTATAGACCTTGTTTACTCCAATCTAGCTTGCTAATGATCGACTCAAGAACAGCTATGAATATTGTTGGAGACAGCGGGTCCCCTTGTCTTACTCCTCGTTCTATTGGAAAACTAGGGCCTAATGTTTCAAGCTTAATTTTACCTTTATTGTTTTTGTATATGGATTTGATGATTTTTATATATATTTCCTCTACTCCCTGTTCTTTCAAGCTTTCCCAGATGCTGTTATGTCTTACTGTATCAAAGGCTTTTTGGTAGTCTATGAATGATATATAGAGTGTTCTTTGTTTTTCCTGATACTTTTCCATTATCAACTCAAGGGTATGGATGTGGTCGACTGTTGAAAAGCCCCTTCTGAAGCCTGCTTGCTCCACTGGCTGTTTTTTTTCCAATGTGTCTCTAATCCTTATGTTTATAATTGTGGAGAAAAGTTTATATAGACTCGGCAGCAAGCTGATTGGTCGGTAGTTTCCGATATCCTTTGGGTCGCCTTTTTTGTAAATTAGTATGATGTTGGATTTGGACCATTGGGAAGGTGTTTCCGACTCTTGCAAGATCTTGTTAAACAGTTCCGCTAGCGGCAGTGCTAGAGTTTTGTGTCCAATTTTTAGTGTTTCGTTCGTAATATTATCTGAACCAGGGCTTTTATCTAGTTTCAGTTTCTTTATTGCTTCAATTATTTCTGTTGCGTCTATGAGTTTAACGTTATTTCTAGGTGTAGCATCTGTTTCTGTGACAAGATTAAATGATTTCGTGTCTCTGTTTCTGTAAAGATGTCTATAAAATTCTGTTGCGGTAGATATGATGTCGCCTCTAGTGTACATTTCTGTATCTTTTTTCCTCAGTCCTTCTATCCATGATGCATTAGTTTTGAGCTTCTTATAGGCCTTCTTTGTACTTCCATTTCTTTGTAGATGTTCTTTTATTGTGTCTTTCCTATATCTTTTGTAGTCTGCTTTTATATACTTATTGACTACTTTGTATATTGCGGACAATTCATTTTTCTGACTTCGTGATTTGTTTTTAGTTTTCTGTAGTTCCTTCCTTCTTTTTAGTAGCCTTACTGTACTTGCCGATAGTATTTTATGTTGTTTATTTTCTTCTCTCTTTGGGCGAGCTTGTTTCAAGCTAAAAGTGATAGCCTTTTCTATCATGTCGTAGCAGTATTGTACCGTGGTGTTTTCGCAGCTAGTTGTAGATAGCTGTGATATTAGGTTTTCGTTGAACTTACTTATTTCCTCTTCGCTCTTTAATTTGCTATTTTGGCTGTTTGTAAACTTGGCTCTTGATATTTTTTGTTTGTTTAGTGTTATTGTTGATCTGACTATTCTATGATCGGAATTGTAGTTCAGATTGAGCGTCTCGATGTTTTGGAATATTCTATGTTGGTTAGACAAGATAAAATCGATTTCGTTTCTGTATTGTCCGTTAGGAGATCGCCAGGTCCATCTTTTGCTCTGTCTTTTTTTAAAACATGTGTTTATTATCATTAATTTGTGTTGGAGCGCAAACTTTACTAGTCTTTGTCCTCTTTCGTTTCTCTCGCCGTATCCATGTTTTTTAGTAACTAAATAGTCAGCTTTGGGGGTTCCAAGCTTGGCGTTGAAGTCACCCATTAATATTATGGTTTTTTGCGCTGTGCCCAAGGCTTTCTCAACTGTAGTGTAAAATTCTTCTATATCAAGGTCGCTTGCCGCTTCTGTTGGTGCATAAACTTGTATAATGGATATTTTATGTCCCTGTATATTTATGTTTAGTGTTGCCACTCGCTCTGTTATGCCATTGAAGCTTATTATGTGTTTTTTGAGAGACTTATTTATAATGAAGCCAACTCCATGTTTGCCAGGGGTTTGCCCTATGTAGCACAGTATAAAATTTTCGTACTCTTCTATTTTATTTCCATGTCTTCTCATTTCAGATATTCCGATGATATCGTATTTAATATCTCTTATAGCCTCTTCAAACTCGAGCAAACGGTCATACGATGAGAGGGTTCGGACGTTGTATGTTGCGATCATTAATTTGTTTTTATGCAAGGTGTTTCCCTGCTCCGTTGGTGTGATCATTGGAGGGTTTTGGTCATACTGTGTGTTGCTGTTAAGTGTTGCTATATTTGTTGCCATATGTATCCTGTTGGATGGAGGGTAGTAGTCGCTGAGCCCCACGGTGACCAGCCGGCTTGGGGTGGTTGGTGCATGTTTTCTTTCGTTGTCCTTTGTTGGTGTTGATCTACAGTTAGCATTGTTTTTGTTCCGGTTGTCGGGGGCAGTTAGTTGTTTTTTGATACCTCTGAAAGTGAGCTAGACCTTCCCCTTGCTATATAATTTAATAAATTAGGTTTTATTACATCCTTTGTATTCGTTGCAGTTGGCATCGTTGCTTTGTTAGGGTTTGACCTCTTTTGTGTAGGTGATATCGGCGAGCCACTCTGTTCCCGCTTCCTTTTTTCACGGCCTTGATCATTTGGTTTCTTAACGATTAGCTTATCATATTTGATATATGCAAAGTTACCCTTGTTTCTTTCTTCCTCTACTTTTGGTTGCAGTTGCTTTCGGGTTTCTAATATGTGTTTCGGGTAGTCTTCTTTTACATAGGTCCCAGATGGAAGGCTGGATTTATTTTTAAGTATCAAATGTTTTTTCCAATTTGTCGACAAGGAAACGACAACTGGCCGATTCTTGTTAGTTTGTGCTCCAATTCTGTAAACATTGCTTATTTCTTGGCTGTCTAGATGTAAACCTGTATCTGTTATAATTTCTTTGATATTGTCTACCAGTTCAGATTCCCTTTTTCCCTTTTCTTCAACTCCAAAAAATACCAAATTCTTTTTTCTTTTATCTATTTCCATTTGATCTAGTTTTTGTTCAAGTTTTGCAATCTGAGTTTTTAATTTTTTGTTTTCTTGAATAATTGAATCCATCTTATCATTTATCGCTTCCATAACGTTTGTGGTTACAGCTGATGTTATAGTTAGAGTTTGTTGGTTCAATTTTTCCTCTAATTTTTCCCAAAGCATTTCGATATTTTTATCCATTTTAGGGAAAAGTGGAATTAATAAATTGTAACACCTTTTAATAATTTTTTAAATCTTGCAACACTGCCCGGCACTGCTGCGTAGGTTGGTACTAGATGAGATGTCAGTTGTCAGACGCGAATTACGATTGAATTGTGTAATGGCGGACTATGAACTTTCACTTTTTACTGGGATATCAGAAGTTGTTTCGGGATTGTTTTACGATATAGTTTTTAATCGCACTGTTTTTATAACTGTATTTCTTATCTTTGCACTTTTCTTATAACTTTATTGGTGAATTGTAGTTGTATGTTCAGTATTTTGTCACTTTTCACTATTTAATTACGGAGCTCAATTTTGTACGTGTTTACGTTTACGACCAGTGTTGCCTGTTGCATGGTGACAATACTGTTACGCTATTATAGTTCGGTAGTAATCATGTTGATACTTAATACAAAATATAGATCAAAAGCGTAGCAAACAATAATTATATAAGTTAGTATAACCACCACGCCGGGCTAATATTCAATATTTTACAATCGCAAAAGAGTGCAACCGAATTAAAACGCGTTTATCACAATTTAACTTGTTAAGGCGCGCTTCCTGTAAATTTAATTTGTGTATTAGATAATAGATATTCAAGTTATACTAAATAAAACTGTATTTCAACGTACTTGTATGTTTATAGAACTATGAGGTTTTAGATCAAAGTCGTTAGGCATGAATATCACTCTAAGAGTATCTTCGCCATCTGAAAATGTTATAGTTTATTATTTTATTTGGTATAAGAAAGTCGATGTCATATTGACAATAATATGACTCTCGTCTGTCAAAAACTTATTGAATTTTAAGTGTTTAAAACTTCTTATACTCCGTAGTAAAAAAGTACCAAAAGTAAAAAGTTTACGTTTAAGTTTGACGGATGTTGGACTTTAATTATATTGATTATACATGTTTATTAGCTTAATAGTGAATTAAGCTAATAAACATGTATAATCAAACATAATGACTGCTGTTCAAGTTTGAAAACATTTACCAATAGGCTTCTGCCATTTGACAGTAGTAGGTAGAGGGGTTAAGTTGCTACATTTGATTCGGTAACAGCTCCTAAACCCAACAGTTAGTGCAAAACTGGGCCTTAATACAGCGCAGCCTTTCCGACGATCAGTTTCTAACGAACATACTTTACCTGTAAAAAGAATATTAAAAAAACTACTTCTTAAGTCTATTACAAAGAAATGTTTTAAAATTAACACGGCATTAGTAACGAAAAACCAAATAGTGTAATGAAATAGTACATTCTATGAAATATGTTCACACTGCAAATACATCGTTCATATATTATTCAGGTATTTATTGGACTAATTGCACGGGAAATTTCTATCAAATGCCAGGAGCGGCATTATCTCATTGACACGAATACAGTTATCGAAATGTTTGTAGATAAAACAATGATAATAATCAAGTGGCGCTACACTACTATATGGGTGGTTATTGGTCTTAGATTGCATCGGTTTCTAGGAAATATTCTTAATACAATTATATCAAAATCAGCCTGCGCCCGCATGTCGTAGGTTTTTTTATACTTAAGACATGCCGGTTACCTCACGATGTGTGACTTCACTGAAGATCACTTAGATAGATTGTGAAGATCACTAACACAAATAGTTATGCACATCCGTGATTTGAACAATCATAAGTCACTAGGCCAACAAATCAATAGATAATTTTGTATTTCATTATAAATGGAATGGAATGTAAAGGTAATGTAGGCTCCGCAAATTTAAAACAAGTATGAGATGTAATGTTCTTGTATAATAATTCTCCGTAGACTTTGTATATGAAATGTTTGAAAAGATTGCAAAACTGCGACCATGACATGTTTATTCTGTGGGTCTTTCTTATGATACTACTGCCCCTATAGGGGTGGGTAATTAAAAACAATCCAGTGAAATAACCGTTGCAACCAAAGTACTCATCTGTCACTTTCCAACATAGCTTAAACACGAATTGAGAGACAGAGAGGAAAGAGTACTTTAATTAAAATTACAATTAAACTGATTTAATTTTAATTGAATAGGGGGTTAATTATTAATAATGATTAAACACAACATTTTATTTTCTTATTAATCCTTAGAAACATTTCTCACAATGTCCATGTTTATCGCCGAGACACGGCATGACTCGCATAACTACACGTGGTGCGAGAACTCTATAGGCGAGTAGAGTAGCCCTTGCCTCTGTTCCCGCAACAGTATGCACCATACACACGTCACCAGATGTTCGGTGGACTTGCACCAGCGTGGCTACCACTCCATCTGTCTATAATAAGGTTTATTCGTAAATTTTCATGTTTTCATATTTCAAATTCGTTAAATAATACTATATAATAAAACTATATAGACGATTTGACGGCATTTAAAAGGAATTTGAAATTTATAGGGAATAATACAGATACTTTTGATTAAGTTAGCAAAACAAAATATTTTTTTATAATCTATGGATATTCATCGTAGATACTTTATTTTTTGTGAATAAATTGTTAACAATATGTATAATTACATCAGGCGCAATAACGCTATACTTGAGCACAACAGATTGGTCATGCGCAAGCGCTCCTCTCGTAGGACTTAGCAATGCGCAGGAGCAGCTACGCTCGTAGCACTGTGGGCACGGCTCTCGGCCAGCGCATACGTTTGCTACGCGGCGCTCGCCCCACCATCGAATACACGTTGCCCACCAACAAATCTAAACATCAGTTATCAAAAACATTTTGTCCATCAATAAATAATAACTATATTTTGATTTTGCTGGAAAAAATATGTAATATGTAGAACCTACTTCCTTACACTTATAACGAATTGTAATAAAAAAATATGCAATCAAATATGTGCAGCAAAAATGCATGTTATTTTGAATACATTTCTATGGAAAGAATTACAAATTCAATTAAAACTAGCCATTTTGCTAATAAAACCAACAAATGAATAGGAAAAACAATTATTTTACATACTCACATGTTGATGGGTATCATTATGCACTTTTAACTCAGTTTGGACCTTAGCCCCAGGCGATACTAAGCCCAACCACTTAAAAGCAGGCCGCAAGGAGGGGTGACGTGTATCATAATTTCTCTGTATGAAAGCCGAGCATTTCCATTCTTTACTCTCTGCATTTAACCTGTTTGTAATATTACTACTAATTTTTTGTGCGTGAGCCAATCACGTAGTGGTATAAGTATACGTTTAGGCATATTTCACAATGAAGTGAAAGTACGTAGGTAAGGCGCATTAAGCGCAAGTGGCCTATCATTCCTCCAGAAGACTCCAGAATTACTTAAAATAAGAATATTTACCGCGCTTGAATAAATGTTTAGTTTATTGAATTATATGGAGTGCAATAGACATATTTATGCTAATATTTCATTTTTTAAAGTCAAGTTCAATGCTTAATTATTCGGACTAAAGGGTTAAGGTTTGCGTTCCATAGGGACTCATACTCAGGGTCAAGTAATATGCATGTGCGTCAACTACTCAACGTTAGAGGCGGCATAGTGTAGTGTCAAACTAAAGAGCTTTAAATGCCAAAATATATTATTGTTTTACGACTTAATAATACTAGTATATTTTTCCTTTTATTACTGCAGTCGGTAACACTACTTACTGAATCACATCTGTATCGGGAAAGTGGTTGGGTAGCCGTTGCATTTGTAAATTAAACTGAGTTGCGATAGGTTCTCCCGGCTGTAAATTTATTGTTTTCGCACCACTGACGTTCCAGTTTGCCTTTACACCACTTACACCATACAACTGTGTCGCTTTTATACAAACGTCCGTTGATTTGACTCTAAAAAAATCATTCGACTATAGTAAGTAATCGCTTCTTTTGTTCCACGCCATGGCAAGATAAATAAGCCCGGAATATAACTACTAATATTATTTAGAAAATTACTGGTTTAAGGAAGTGTTAAGTAGGTCATTTATCTAGTTCATGTAATATATGGTCAAATAAAATGTTTACTACATAAAATTATACCTACTTAAACATAAAAGTCCAATATGCCTTATCTCTCTAATGTCACTTGACAAACAAAAAAATATTTTCATTTGTTTCAGCACGGCACGTTTATGAATATAATCTTTGTACTAGTAGTAGTACCTATTATTGAAATATACCAAATAATTTGTGTTTAATAATTTACTACCTTCTCGAATGCCTAAGCTTTAACACAGACGGTTCAAGGACAAATCTGACGGGCACCACCTCCCACCATACTTCAAGCTGACAACAAACTACATCACATAGTTCGCGTGTCCAACTCTAAAAATGATTCAATTAATTCAAGACAATATTTTACTACTTAACTTACTAATCTAAATATAAATTTTATTACAGAGTGTTTAGTTACGACTAAACGATCAATCGCGTTGAGCGAATTTGTCTTGAACTGTAAAGGCACGTTCTAGCAACAATTTATTTACGAAGCAGAGTTTTTGCACGAAAACAATTTTTGCCGGTACATGTTAGGTAATGCTCTTTGAATTGAGGTTGTGTCTATCTGCTCCTTTTCTAGGGCGGACATCATCCAGTTCGGGTAGAGTGCTCGCGGTGTGATTCTTCGCGTTTGATGCACTGCACGGACGGCACTGGGGCGGGCATATAGGCCTTGGAGGAATGGAGTGGGCCAGGAGATGTAGTCTTATGTTATGAGAGGCCAAGCGAGACGACAGTGAGAGACGAGACGTATTGTGTACAATGGTGGTACTCGTGCGTAATCATTTTCGCGGGTTCTATAGGCTTAAGTACGTGGCCCTCCCGCTTGTAGCCCATTCCGGCGGTTTTTATAACGTCACCCAGGTATTAAATATTTTTAAAAGATTTATTGTTAAATTTATCAAGTTCTAAATAAGCGATTAACTTGTCCTGAAGATAAGAATGATTCTATTATTATAATATTCTATTTAGTAGATTTATTTGTAAATATCCAATACATGTTCAAAACCGTAATACATAAGGAGATTACTATAATTCTAATATACAAAAAATGTTACCGAACAAACTCCTGGTATTCCTTCCTCGTTTACGATATCAGTTTTCACAATCATAGGATCAAAATCAGTTGGAAAACTTTCTTTTGGAATTTCCTTTAATATTAACCTGCAATAAAAATTGATTTCCTTTAAAATATAAATTTGTAATTGTGTTCAAAATTTAAAAACTGTGTATCGTGGGATTCCTTTGTAATTCATTTTTGAACTATTGAGATTAATTATTTACAAACAATGATTTATTAAGACTTTAAATTCGTTATAACTTATCATATGTTATTGGTATATTAATATTATGATTTTATGTACACAAATATTAGAATGAGAAAAGATTTGCAATTTGGTTTATTTGTAACCAAAAAAAACGGGATTAGAATACTTTATTGTCCCTGAGTAAATTATAATCTATTCAAAACGTCCCGCGATACGAAATACGAATCTGAGACGGACAACTTCTACATAATATTTATGAATAATTTCATTTTATAGCATAATATTAATTGTACTAACATAAGCACAGCTCTGTGGATGCCTAGACCCTGACCAACATCAGGCACGCGGATAATGAGTTGAGTCACCGACCTTGGAAAGAGACGACCTTGGGCTGACTCAACTCTCACTGCTTTTGCGTCTTCACTAGCAACATTTTTTGTCTGTAAATTGCAGAACATTCAGTAATATTATGAAAAATCAATATAAAACTAATAAGTGCATCATAGTGCCTACAGAATAAGAGATGTAATAAAAATATTGATTCTTTCCGTCCAGCTTGATATCCAACTTTATAATAGTAAAAAGTGATTAATATATTACCATAACTTACCATTTCCTTGAATTTAGTATATATAGCAAACGCCTCGAAGTGATTTCTCCGCTAAAATCACTGTGTTTATAGATTTAATATAAGGCATATAAAACTGACTTAGGTACTTGTCTAAAAATGCCTAAGTTAGTCAGTTTTATATGCCTATTTCGTTTGGCATACGTGCAATTTTTAGTGCACAGCCATGGTTGAAACCCATGAACTCGGGATTAAGCTTACTATTAGAAGATAAGACTGATCAAATTTTGAATTATCATGTCATACTCGTTTTTTTTTGGTATTTTGAGTGCGAAATATTTTTTTTCAACCTACTTTCATCTCACTCCGGTTGTACTTCGCCTCATCACAGAAGTCATCTTCTCCGAACAGTGAGGTTTGAGATGAGGTCCAGCAGGAACAAACTCCCCAAGGTCTTACACTCCAGTAATAGGGATACGTTACTGGACTAGAAAATGTGAAGGATAATGAGGCGTTAATTGTTTAAACTCCTTTAACTTAAAAAATGTATGACCAGTAGACGTAATCATTGTTAGCGTAAATTGTTTTTGGTTGGTCCTCCGTCCTCAGTCCTCGATACCGAAGGAACCATGTTTGCTTTGATTAGGTCACAAAACTGTTTCCAGACTTGGCTACAATTATGTTACTAGGTAAACTAAAATCTTAATAATATAATATGTTTCAAGGAACAAATAATGAGGAAACATTGTTTATTTGCATTTTGGAATAAAATTATAAATTAAAATACCTGTGATTCAAAACTTCCACTGTAGCAGATAATGATCGGCTTGGAAAAGCTGTACCGAGACGCACGTAATACTCGCATGCTTCATCATCCTCACTACGTATATCGTAGTCTTTATCGTGAGCCTACAAGATGAAATAGAGAATAATTAATCTTCTTTATCAATTATACGAGATTTTTGAAGTTATACTTCTTTTGGCATGGAAAAATCATGAGAGTAAATTTTTACGATGCGCGCGCACACCGTCACAAAAGAAGTTAGCTATAGTCAACATTTGTTTTTTTTGCTGTAATTGTACGATATTTAGACAATGTTTCAACAATAATATATTTTGTATTATACTTCAGCAATCATAAGCCTCTTGTAACTCACCTGACCCTGACTGACACTCTACTGAACTCCAACCAATGGACGTGAATTAAATATAAAATATCAATATGTATAAGTTGCATGCTAAAATAAAAAATGACAATTTCTTTAATAATGTAGAAATCATTTTTTTGTGATATTTAAATAAACATTATTTAACTAGATAATGCGGCATAATAGAACGTTCAATATGTTAAATACCTTTTTTATATTATTAGTGTCGTTTTTTCTACAAACGCAGCATAAAAATTTCGAAAAGATTTTTATCTTGTTACGCCAAAGAAGTATAACTTGTAACGCGTATACATAAGTGATATATAACTTGACGCTTACAGCTTTATAGCTGTCCTGGTCAGTGAGACTCTAGAGCGAAGCATACCTATTCAATAACGGTTAGGATGGCCACATGGAAAGATTATGGTACACCGCTAATGTACACATTCAATGCCAGTGGGCTCGCTAAACAAGTCCATTCTTTTCTATTTATTTCAGGGGTGAACGGGCAGGAACCCTGACTTTAAGTGTACCACCGCCCATGGAAACCCTCAATTGCAAAGGGCTCGCGAGTGTGTTGCCTTTTAAGAGTTAGTACGCTCTTTTCTTGAAGGAGCCGTCTTCTAAATAGTCATGTTTCTCAAAACTTCAAAGGGTTAAAAACCCACCTCCAAAGTAATGTGATCCGTCCTGAACCACAACGCATCAGCCACCACATTCAAAGACCGCACTATAGCCGTGGAGCAAATTATTCTCAAAGCTGTGGTGTGTAGCCCTGGCTCCGATGCATAGCAAACAGCTAAGGCCCTCGTGGTCCCGCCTCCTGACCAGCGAACCGGACTGAGCCAGAAGCTATCACTGGCTGCACCTCCAACTGTTTTACCTTTACTAGAGTTAGCTGCAATCTGTTGAAACGTAATAACGTTATAGGGAGTTTGTTATACTATTGAGAGTACCATAGAGTACAGAGAGTGTACACACTGGGTGGCTTAAAATAATGGTAGCTGGTAACCTTATATACTTGATTCTTTGTTGATGTAAATTAATTGTGATGAATATATAACCCGTGAGCTGTTCACGGGTTATCCGTTCAAAGTAAACAGTAAGGCCCTTTCTCCACTGCTCCGGTCCGGCGTCGGATACCGGAATGAGTCATGAGAAAAATATCGGAAGGCCGGATTGCGCTTCTCCACTATATCTGATCCGACAATAATCGATACTTGTATATATTTATGATGCAACACCTATATTAACTAAAACCCATATACTTTATTATATTAATAAAACGTTCTAAATTCTAAATATTTTATTGCCCTGGCAAGTTTATTACTTTTTAATATTGTCTATCTTCAAATATTATAATCTACTTAATAAATAGTTCACTAATACTATGGTATAAAAATATAAATAAATAGCAACATAATTTGATTTGGTCCAGATTATCCAGATTCTTTCAAATTAAACAAACTATAAAAATAAACCTGTGAATAATAATTTATAACCTCTTGGATACTTGGATAAACTTGGACCGATAAAACATCGCGTTCCGATCTAGCAAGTTATCGGATCGTTAAAAACCGGATGCCGGAGTAGTGGAGAAGCACGTAAGTACTGTTGTGAGTTTCTTAATCGGATCGGTAATTAACGTTTGCCGGACCGGAGCAGTGGAGAAACGGCCTAATAACATGGTATTGACGTACGGGTATGAACACATAGACATATAAATAATTGAATTATATGTTTAACGTAGCGTTATGTTGTAAACGTTACATATATTATTTACCCTACTACACTTCAGAAAATATAAAATATCTAATTACTCATGTAAATATTGTTTAGAAGACACTTACATCAACACTGAAGCTTAGCCAGGCATCTTCAGGTAGCAAAAAGAAATTCGCATGTTTCTCAGCGCAGAAGAATAATAACGACGCTCGATGAACATCCCCTAAAAGCCTCGACCCTAGATCTAGTACATCACGTGTTAGTTTTACCGTCTTCATGGACTCCATGTGAATTGACGTCAAGTTTGGTACAAGTACTGAAAAACATGTATTATGCTTTTACGTTTACCTTTTCTTTTTTATCTATACTTATATAATGTATAATATAATGATATTATAAAGAGGAAAGCTTTGATTTTTGTTTGATTGAAATGAATAGGCTCCGAAACTACTGGACCGATTTCAAAAATTCTTTCACCGTTGGCAAGCTACACTATTCCCGAGTGACATAGGCTATGTTTCATTTTCAAAAAAATTAGGGATGCTTACTAAAACTTGAATAATCTAACCCAAGGTGTAAAGAAATAAACAAAAAAACTTCCTTCAATCGTGTGCGCTGCGAAAACTATTAATGATAGAACAAAATGATGTATTACAATTTTTCAGGACACAACACTATCTATAAAAAACGTCACGACAGCATGTCTCTATCTTTTATAGTTACGTCACAATAAGCGTCCTTTTATTATTATTTTTTAATTAAAATACCACCGCTAGAAAAGGCTCTTTATTCGTACCTAGGTATTGATCCTTATCAAAATAATTACCAACGTTTCACATAAGCTACAATTTAATGGCATAACCACCAAAAAAGCATGGTGGATTGGTGTTCTCCTGCCGTTTCTCTTGAATAGTTTACTACTATGTAATATAACAAAAATGTTAGCCACAGCAACGCTTGGCCGAGTCTACTAGTGTGAAATAAAGTAGTTCGTTCGTATCAATTAGATTTAAAGAGATAAGGCCTTATATATCAAATTATAGTTTTTACCTTACTCGTAAATTGTCTTATTAAAAAAATACCAATAGATTGTTTGAAAGCTTTAAATAAAAATGCTTTAGTGAAAATTTGAAATGGATAACTTTCAAAATTGAAAATTAACATTCAGCTTTTTTTATTGAAAGGTAAACACTATGTAAGTTTGAAGAATGTTTAACAGTAAAAAATAATTCCTTTAAAATAAATTTATATACGCTTAACAATTACATTTTATTTCAAATACTATTTCTGCAAGCTTTTCAAAACTTTCGATTCTATTGTATCAAGTAGTATGAAAACAACAATAAATCGGAACAAACAATAAAAGTGACAAAACAAATGTTTGTCCTTATAATTTATAGGTGTTTCTAACTGGAACATTTGAGTCAGTCAGATTCACATTCACTTAGTCAGAAAATATAACGCTTTTAGTCGTGACAGCTCGATTCGTGTAATTGTATTCCAAAGAGTATGTAAATATAATAAACAAATAGATCGATGTCAAATATGTCAAACTTCATATAGAGATATTAGTTTGACAGATCTAGAAACAAGACTAGATTTTAATTCTCGTTAACATGAGACTAATAAAACTTTGAGGAAACAACAATAAAAATGCAATAAATATGAACCGAATATTAGAATATATTATATTATTATTATTATTTACTGATTTATCAATTGTAATTACATGCTTATATAATGTAATCAACAATATAAAACAAATCAAATAATAGGTACATCGTTTACTGCCATACTGTGGTGTTAATTAAAAATCAACGGTTTTTTCAGCTAAAAAGTTCTTTCACTTCGCTATGCAGCCTTCATTAAAGCAGTCGTTAAATATAACAATAAATTTCCTATATTATTTGTAAGGTTCCTTAGATATACAGATAACCGAATAAATAAAACTCATTTAAATCAAGCCTTAAAAACTTACTTTCAAGTATTGGCGGTTGCATATAACAAGCGATTGGAATCTTCAAGGATTTCCCAGAAGAAACTCTCACTAGCAGATCGTCGGTGACTGACAGCACATCAACTGGACGATAGTGTATTTTAAATTCCGCAGCTGAACCTGAAGTTACCACCAGACGAGAACAAAGTTCTATATCTAGTTCTCGACGTTTTGGAGGCGACACGGATAGACGTAACTCAAACTTGGATATGTTTATAAGACGGACTGATTCCTAAAAAATAATTACCTCATTAATTAACTTAAAACCCCGAAAGAGGAAGTTCAAGACTTGATTCAGTATACGTAAGTAACGTATAACTTTTTTTGTGACTGTTCTGGACAATTATAGCGAATCATAAAACTGTCTGTCTTGGCACCAACATAGTCTCATAGAACTTGCAAAAATTAGTCCATAAAATATTAATTAAAATTAAAAAGCAATATTATTGTAAATAAAGTTTTAGGGCATGTTAGAATATGCTCTATTTATCACTCGCAAAGTTAGTAAAGAGTCAAGGTGAATTTTAAATTATAACAATTTCTAGCTGATAGTTTAACCCCTATTATTCATAAAATATAGTGTCTCTCTTTTCATCACAGTGTGAACACAATTTGACGGAAAGAGACAAAAGAGTACTTTAGTTAAAAGTGTGTTAGACTGGTTTAGTTTTTAGGAATAAACCCTTAGGTTTCTAATAAACAAGACAATATATCTTGCCAGTAAACCACAAGAATGTTATAACTTATACCATCATTATGTTTAACTATTTTAATAATCCTTTAATTGCAGAATTGTATATATATTACTTAAAAAAAGGACTTTTAGTGCCAAATCATTATTGCTTAAAATTTAACAAAACCAGTTTTCACACTTAATAATTTTAATATGTGGCATAGACACGAACATACTTTTCGTCGTCGCATCTGACGTCAAGTATGATTTTTTATTTATGAAACAAGCGAACAGAATCTAAATGCGGGCTTCATATTTTATTTCTAAATTTTTCAGTCACACACATCAATCAAATTCCCGGTGTATTTTTGACGAAGTCACAATTTGATTTTGTTGGACGCTCGAGGTGAAATTAACATGTCGAATATTTCACCAACGAAAACTTGATACGACTTTGGTTGCAAAAATAACAAGCAAATATCTAAGAATCTAACATTTTGGTTTTTAGAATTAATACGAATTTATCATTCATGATTTAATATACTTAAAATTATTATGGAATGACACTTAAACACTCAATCAATTTATGAATCTGTTTAGGCGTGAAACGCTGAACGGGGAACGTTGATCATCAGCTGATTTTGTTAGAAAATAAATCATACCCATTAGGTTAAACCTAACATTCACTTTGGTACCACTGAGCTACTTTGATGATGGAGGTTGAAAAATGCTGGGGTTTCATCATCTTATGTCACCGTAAAATTGTTAATACCGTTAGATTGTAATCTATCTCGCGAGATAGTGAACTTTCGAAATACTGTTAACCTCAACGTACTGCTTACAATTTAACGTGTTATTATTCGGTAGATTGTAATCTATCGGAGTGAAACCGTCAAATTGTGAAACAGAACGCACCTCGCGCGCTGATGTAGCTACTCAAAGGTGGGCCAAGTCAAAAAAAACATATTAAGGCGAAACGAAGTTCGCGGGGGCAGCTAGTAATTTTATATTATCATTATTACAAATATTTTTGTTATGGACAGTACTACTTTTTAAAACTGTTCTTTCCTACATAAAGACTACAAGTTCTTACCGTATGCACATTTCCTAGAGTGAAGTTGACAAATTCAATTCTTGGAGGTACGCAAATCATGTACTCTGGTAATGGAGGTTGCAGTATAAGCTTCGGGGGTAGGGGGTGTGGAGGTGGAACTGCCTCCCCGATACTACATGAAATAAAAATGATATATGCAACAATGTTATCTTTAAAGTCTAGTAGCCTACAAATGGGGCACATATCTAGGTATATTTATTTTTGTTTCACCGGGAATGTCATAAATGAACTTCACGTGTATCACTGATCTCACATATCCGGCGGTACCCATACATACTACAAAATAAAAAATGTTTTTTTACATAAAATTAATGCTGAATTAAAACTGTCAAATAAAATTTATTTATTAAAGGAAAAACACAAAATTTTAATTAATAAATTCATAGTAAGCATCGCATAAAATAAAATGCATTTGAATCTGAAATTAAGTAATAAAACTAAAGACTTTTATCTTTTTATAGCGCTTTAAAATTATAACATTATTATATTTAAAAAAAAACAAGAATGGCCTTGTAGGATAGATCTGAAATTAAAAGACATTGACGCGATACATTTTATTATCATTGGTCAAACGGTGAGTGTCTCTCGTGTCTTGTACTTTACAATCTCACCTATCTGTGCTCTTAATCAAATATATTATTTTGTTATTTTTAGTATTGTTACATAAATTTATCAATCAGTTGACGAATCACAATCAAACGAAATAAACGTCTAAAAAAAATGCTCACAAAGTAATTTAAACTTATTCTAATATCGTGGTTTAACAAACCTGTACGATTGTATCGTCGAGTTCTCAACCGGAAGCAACACAGTTTTGCTATGTATATGAGGCTCATATGGTTTATTTGTCAAATCACCAGAACTTCTATTAAGTATATTCTTTATCCATAACCTTGCGTCACCTAAAATTGTATTGGATAATCTATAAACTCAAACTCAAACTCAAAATATCTTTATTCAAGTGGGTAACCAAGTACACTTTTGAATCGTCAAGTTAAATTAATCGTAAATTTACATTTACTACCAGTTCGCAAGTCAAGGGCGTAGAGCGGGTAAGAAGAACTGGCAAGAAACTTTCCGCCACTCTTTTTAATCGCCAAGTATTGTCATACAAATTGTTTGAACTGGAGCAATTCAATCCCAAGGATTAGGATCATTTAAGTAGTCCTCAAATTTATAAAAAGCTTTGTTGATTAATTTTCGTTTAACGAGGGCTTTGAATTTATTTAGTGAGTAAGTAGTAAGTAGTATAAGAGTATTAATTCATTACATTACATTAATATAAATTATTATACTTCCAACTCTTATAAAATCAATGAGTGTTATATAATGACAGTGAAATATGTTAACGTATGTGATAGGGGTGCCGAGTAAAATAATCAGATAATAATGTACGGTATACGGCAAGTCGCGGGCAGTAAGAGGTACATATTTAATTATAATTAAATTAAATCAACAAATATTATGTTATCTTACTTATATAATTATGGTATTAAAAATACCATCGAATACGGTTTGAGTTGACTCTTGAAACCCACTGGAAAATTTTAATATGGTTATAACCTGAGCTAGAACGCTAGAGTCGAGACTTAGCGCGAACAATGACTCCCGCGTGTATACGCCCTTTACGTTGTTAACAAGAGTGGCGTTCACTCGACAATGCAATAAATGACGGGCCTTGATAAAGGGTAATAACCACATACAAGCGGCATCTTGTTCTATAGTTGGCTTCAAATCCTTTCTAACTATGGTCCAAGACTCTTGATCACCACTGCCAGTTTCTGGATACATTTTGTAAATATTTGGAAGGGGTTTTCTTGATAACCGCTCTGCATACTTATTTTTTAACTTCTTTTCTTTTTCGTTCAATTCTTTACACTCCGATGAAAATTCATCGATCTGGAAAATTAAGAATGGAACGAAATAAAGAACGAAACGAAATATTAGCACTATAGTGACTAAGGCATACCTAGTCTGAAATTGTAATTAATTTAAATGTCTATCAATGAAAACAAAGTACCAACCAAATTTAATTACTACCAGCAGAATTTATTTATGGACTACAGACAGTAGGTATACAAATATATAAATGTAGAAAAAGGACAGATATAGTTATGTATAAATAATATTACGCCTTATTAATGTACATTATATATAGTATGTAGTATACATTCAGTGCCACAACTATTTATGGGTCTAGGCGTAAAATTTCCAACAAAAAAACAAAGCTGCCAATAAAGCTAATAATAAGCTTCTCCAATAGGTTAACTCTGCTCCTTGTACACCGAAAAGAGAAGGCTCAACCACATATTTACAATATATCTATAAATTATATTTAGCTTAATAAGATGAGTCGTTTTTAATATAGAAAGATTTAAAGTACCCATTCGCATTGTCCAATTAAATCTGATTCATCATCCTTTTCAGTTAGGCATGACACGAGTGGAGGAAGGTATTCGACATCACGAAAAACTTCCCGAAGTACCGGTCGCACGTCTGCGCAAATTATTTCTCTGAAATCGAATATCAAAACGTCTATGAAGAGTCTCGACGATTTTAAAATAAAAATTATGTTTAGTTAGTCAAAAGAAAAACACACAATGTGTGTGCGCTAGGCGCCTAGCCCAAAAAATTGCTTTAAAAATTGTTGAAATTGTTGAAATTCATTAAATCACACAAAGAACTCTTCAAATCGTCCATGATTATTGACTTATTATATGATAGATTATTTTTATTGTAAAATAACAACGAGATTTAATTATTATATATAGGAATACTTAATCTATATCAATATGTACTAATATTATAAAGACAAAAGATGTGTAAGTTGGTAACGAATAAACACAAATAATACTGGACTGGATTTTAATAATATTTCACCATTAATAATGCTACATCATAGGTTATATTTATTTATAAATTAATTCAGACGGAGCAGGTTTTACTTAATATTTAAATAATATTTATAAAATAAGACATACAGCTGTAACTAATACTGCTTACATTATTTTTATTCGTTTTAATACGTTTTATGCTAACAAACACCTACTGAAACTAAATATTTTCCAGCTGATCTTACCCTCTATTAGGTAATAAGGGTAATGTATCATCCATAGTTAATATTATTATTATTATTAATTAAAAAACAAATACATTAGTAAAATTATACAGACGAGGAAAAACCTTAAATAAATTTCTTAATTATTCCAAAAATCCTTGTTGAGAACAAATTGTCAAACTTTTAATCATAGACTGCATTAAAAAAATGTTAAACGTAGAATTATATATATACAGACTATACGTACGTATACATTAGCGCCATCTGTGGAGAGTGTTAGCAAAATAAAAAAAAAACAATTTTTCGAAGAGAAAGCTAACCGAAAAAATATTTAAAGTGAAATTTAAATTAATGGAATAAGATTAAGTTTCCTTATAATGAAATATTTATCAAAATGTAGAAATTATATAGCACATTATTATTTTCTATTAGCGCCATCTCAAAATATTTTACTTAACTAAATAGTGAACGAAAATTATTGCGTAACATAGTTGTCGACATTTTGCAGTTTCACTCTACATACCATAGATGGCAATTTAATAAGTTTTAATCTTGGTAATATTAATATTTAAATAAACGGCTTCTCTTGAAGTTATATAGAACTAAGTTGTGACAGAGTTTCAACGAAAGTTCAAACAAAAGTGCTGTAGTGTCGAACAAAAACAATAGTCTTTTATCAGTCTCATATAAATTATAACACATTATGTTATAATTTAATAATGTATGTGTATTTTTAAATTATAACATAATGTGTCATAAGAACAATCGACTCTGGTAATCAAGAAGTTATTTAAATCAGAGAAAAAAAAACGTAAAAAATAAATGAATGAAAATTGTGTACATATCAACTTACTGAAATTGTGTCTAATTTTTACTGTTGTAAATAATTTTTATATATTAGATGCTTATGCTTATATGAATTTTATGTTTACAATATAATTATGTATAACGCAAATTTGACCAGCGAACCTTAAAAAATACCGAAAATAACAAGTGAAAATCACAGTTTTATTTTTTGATCTTACCTCTAAATTAAATTATTAACACGGAATATTTAAATAATTATGGGGTAATGCCGCCTCTTCTGTGGCGAAATTTAGATTTCGCAGTTTATGTGTAATATGAATTGGGATTTTACGGCGGTGACACTGTATAATCGAAATTCGATCTTAGGTTCTTTAAAAATTATTTTCATGTCCATTCATAACTAAATGCCGAAGACAATAATATTTATGATCAATGCACATGCATAATGTATGAAATTAAGCTGATTATAATATATTAAATTTAATAAGGACAAATTACAATATATAATACAAAAGAGCCCTCAACCAGAAGTAGTGCAAATTAAAAATTCATGAGCCATTCGAAACAATGGCGAACGAAATTGTTGAATAAAACCCTGTTAAAATGCAGTTGACTTTGTATAAAATCTTCTATAGTTCTGCAGTTCTATCCAAGTTTTAATTACATTAACATCAGAGCTAAAGGCGAGAAGCTTCTCCGATTTGGTAAAATTTCAAAGGGTTTAACGGACTACTAATGTTTGTCTTCAGTTAAAACTAACATAGTTATTTTATGTTGTATGTTATTCGAAGTGTTTAACAATTAATAAGTTAATAAATTAAACCCTACGCATTTTTGTAGTGTTGCTGTTTGCGATGTCTGAGCGGGATAAGAAATCCGATCGAGGTCCTGTAAGGCTCTGTAACAAGGCATTTGCTTTATTCATCTTTTTTCAATCTAATTAGGTGGTCGGCCTTATTTGTCTGACACACGCCGTCGATGCATAATTATATTGTAATGTCCATATGGCCATATTCGTCGGTTTCCTGAATGGATTAAGGAAACAGATACAGAAATCTAAGGCCAACCCACAGGTTGAAGCGCCACTATCCTTTTTTGGTTCTATTTCGGGATAAATATGGGTTTCGTCCTGATACGTATTAAGGAGAGCCAATGCCGAGAAAATAATTGTTAATTATTAAGTCTATTATTGTAAGCGGTATTGCCATTTTACATAAGGGCAGGTTATCCATGCATAAAAGTGTCAATGTCAGGTTTTGACAGCTCGAACGCGTCGGATTAGGATATAATATTTCATAGATGCAATATATTCCAACAATGTTAATGCTTTAATATGGTCCTAAAACATACATGGAGAATATCCTAAAATCTATCTATAGTTTAGAATTAGGTATATAGAATTTAATAGCTATTATTTTATTTAACAGTTCGATTTTATGTTTTATTCGTGCAAAAGGCTCAGCTTCTTATAAAGATAGTGATGCGCGGCAACTGCCTTTAAAAGACCTTGGTTGTGGAACGACAAACGTGAAAGTAATACGAAAAACGGAATTTAAAATATTGCCTTAAAAATCAAAAGCTGGAAATCAAATGCTTTGTTTGGTCTAAATGTTGTTCATTTTTGTGCAGTTTGTGAATAATATGAGCACGATTGGCAATCAGCGATTGACAGGTCAATTTCAGAGTTCACGAACAGCAATTACCCCTGAAATATCTATCATATATTGAATTAACGTTGTGATGTTTCTCGCAACGTTAGGTAAACAAAAAATCTGACAAAAATATCATTTGTTCCTTTATTTCTGAATTGCTAACTTACCGAACTAAACCAACTAAGTGCGTAAATTAAGAAGTATAAAAATACTTCGATCAGTCGATCACACTCAATCTTATAATCACATGTTTTTCTGGCGATGTTGTAACTTCCTGAGGTGCCTTTAGTACCAAACCAAAAAAAAACGCTATAGGTATTCTTCGGGAGTGAAGATACATTTTGACTACCAAAAAAAAAGTATGGCACTTCAATTACATCACGTTTATTATTTAAAGCTCATTTTAAATAAAATACATGATTTCATCTATATAATATGTGCCACGTAATAAATGATGTATTATTTTCTGCCTACTAGTTAAATTAAAAATGAAATATTATTATGAAAAGATGTAATTATTCCTCATTTAACACTATAATATTCTATAAAGTTTAATTATACCTAGCGAGCTTTTCCCTTACTCCAAACTTTTTCAAAAGGATCAAAGCGTTCCTATGAATATTTATATGGTAAACTATTTTCTCGACCAACTGGGAATTTTTAATTAACTTCAGCCAACGCAATCTTGCTTAGATATCTTTTTACCCTAGTTTCATCAAAATATGCCACTTAAAAATATTAATTAAATTACTTTTATAAGTAATTGAAGCCTTTGAAGCCTATGAAGCCCTTCTTTAAAATATATATTATTTTTTATTTTATTTTACGGCCTGTGAATTATTGGAAAGTGTCAATGTATTGAAATTTTGTGTACACACAATAGTTCCCACGGCTTAGTTACTTATCCTATTTCTTCAGCGATAACGTTTTATAAATTAAAATGATATCTTTTATTCTTTGACGTTCTCTTTGGAACAGAAATAATTGAAAGAAAAGCCGTTTTCTGGACTGCTAGAACAAAGAGATAAGGCTAGGTTAATAAATCGCCACGAGGGTCGCTAAAGACGGCTTTATGACATGTACACAGGACAGAAGAGCTTGGCAAGTCAGACTGTCAAAGTGTAATTTATGGGCACTAACCTCGTCCGGAGTAAAGGTAGGGACACTACAGGCTTTTGTATATGAAAGTTTTTTTTATGCAAAAGATAATAGGTAACCCTATATATCCCCATCCACACAAGTCCATGTTATTGTATGTGTATTATTATGCTGGATTGTAGTATCGGTATCTCGCACCATACGTTATTTCGCTTCATTATTCAATGTTTTCTCTTTAAAACATGGAAAAAAAAGGCCGAAGCTGCGGAGGCTTGGATTAAATGCCTGTGCTTTGGTACGCAAGGCAGGCCGCCTTTCCAAAAAAACAATTATTATCTAGTTCGGTTAGGTTAGGTTAGTATATTAATATTTTTTTTAAATAACTGTTTCTGGCGCGTGAAAGTAGTTGGTTGAAAGTGGAAATTCTAAAACTTTACAGTTTAAAAATTGGGAAATAATCGATAAATATAAAAATATCTATTATTTTTTATTTATCGATATTTCATGCTTAAAAAACCATACTTTAACCTTTTAGGTGTATCAGTCTGTAATTCTAAAAATTAAGTTTTGATTAATATAATTAAAAATGCAAGGAGGCTGGAAGGGATTGGAATGTTTTACCAACGTATTTGTATTTTTTCCTCAGTCAGTCCAACAGTAGGTACATATCTCTTGACATTTTCTGTTCCTTTCCGTACAATAACAAATTTAATATAGCTCTTAACTTTGTTTGATTGATTGACGTACCAACCTCAGGTACTTATATTTGAATTAAGAATATTTTTCATTACTATCGGATTAACGCGGGGCACTGCGATGGAAGAAGTGGATCACGCTCAATTTACTAAGTTAACCACGTGTGCTACAACCTAATTACATTTGCGGCGAGCAGTAACGTCACGATTCAATTCAATTCGCTTCTAGAACTGCAAATCCAATAAATCTTAAAGCTCGCGTTCGCAAAAATACTGAGCGTATAGTAAAAAGTACGTAACACGAGTAAAAATATTGTTACATAATTCAGATTTACCTATTTTGAGCCCTTAGTCGTGTGCAGTCAAACTTTTGGACTAATTATTAGAATTATATTAACACTTAATATTTATTGCCAGTAAGTTATTTTAATTTAAAGTCTGCTAAAGGACCATGGCTTTTCAAACAAATGAAATGTGGCCATCACTGACAGTATTTATTTGGTTTAAAATTGCATTTGGTGATAATGTGCTTTAAAAGGTTTACATTCGTAAATATTTTACTACATATATTTCTCACAATCAACTAGGGTAGAACTACAGTAACCTATTTAGCATCTACATGGCATTATCCGTTAAATAGGATAGTTTACGAGGATGACCTTCACAACAGCAAATTAAAGATAAAGAGAGTTTATTGATGTGTTCACTTTAAATCTTTTAAATCAATTTCATAAAGTGTTACATGTATATCAAACACCTTATCACTACTTTTTAACCCAAAGGAATTCTTAACCAGAATATTGGAATACGTAATACGAATACGTCTCAATTATATTGTACCATAGAGTATTTATTTATTTAAAAAAGGTTTGCCAACGAGCATAACAGTAAAACCTTACACCTTGGAACACAAAAATAACAATAAATACTTGCTTGTACACCCTTTAACAGGCAAACACAGCATGCTTAATAACTAACATAATTCTCAATACTATAAATATATGTGATCTAAAAAGGAGATATTTTTATTTTTATTTTACAAAATATGCTACCATTACAGATTACTCCAATGTGGCAACTATTACATACAAAAAATAACATAACTAATTAATAAGTAATTAAGTTATTGAAGTATTTTGGAAAAGATAAATCTCCTATAGATCCCTTCTCATCATTGGTACGTATTGTACAAACTGTACGAGAAGTGGAAGGGATCAATTTCAGGAGAACATTTATTAGCTAACTTTCACATACTAGTAATAGCAGCATTAGAACTTACGTTAAAAGATACGCTACCCGCATAAATACTATGAAAGATTCAATGTGACAAATATATTTAATTCCGCTACTGCGTTGTGAAATATAGTACGGTGTCAACCTCCCCAATTGTCTAGATCTCACAACAGATGCTTTCCAAAACAAATGATGGGGACTTAGAACCATTCCACAGATAATATAAGGGTCACGTAAGGCAATTTACTGGTACCCGGGTTTGGCCCTGGGACTTACCGCGACACTTATTTAAATATATCAAGCATAATGTGACTTTTATCTTCTACGTGGAATATATTTCAGTGGGTTTGACCTTTTATTTCCATTTTTATTAACAACGTCGAAAAACTAAATAATGATGGTCATATAGGCGCTAATCACCTATATAAGCGTCGAACTACTAGAGTGTAACTCTATTTTTAAAAACGAAATAAGTCTAATTACACTCAATTAAAATACCCTTTTATATCATTCTGACAAATTTTGTTTACGCTGTTATGAAAAGAGACAGATGAGTACTTAGTTAATAATAGTTAAAATATAAATAAATAATAGTAATAACAACGCGGAATGTAAGGATTGATAAATAACGCTTCATTAACTAGAACAATCCTAACACAGATCATAATATACCAATATGCGTATAAACAATAATAATCTATATCTTACGCGTTCACGTAGCTGACCAGATCCATGTACATAGCAGGATTTCTAGAACAGAATGTCAAATAGTAGGTACTTTGACGCAAAAATACCAAAAGTACTACGCGGTCAGCGAGGAAATTATTATATAATACGTAATAGAATATTAAAGAATTTTTACGTTATCTGAACACGATGTGTCAGTAATGGAAAATGACAGTCTGTCTATTATATCCGTCAAGATTTCATATAAATTCATATTCTATTTATTTAAATATAAATAGCTTTCAAGATACCAATCTTGCGTTAAATTCATAGTTTTCTATCTCAATGTTGCAATTTATTACATCCGTATCCGGGAAATATTTTGTTCAAACATAAATCATAGTGGTATTCTTTCAACAACGCTAGCAATTTCTCTGTTTTAAAAACGATTTATCAATGTGAAATGAACTTTATAATGACTGCAATCAGAAGTTCGTTTAAAATGAATTAAGAAACAAGAGACCTAAAGTCATATTTGCTGTTAAAGAAATATTTAAATACGTGAAAATATATTTTTTATTGAATCTCATCTATATTTGTTAGAGAATTTGCTTAATAAGTCTAATTACTCTCAAACAAACTTTGCAAACTTAGCCTAGCACAAGTGCTTTAGACTTAGTTTAAATTGTGGAACTTTAGATTATGTTTATTTTGCTAATTGATGTTAAGTAAATAATTTGATTAGTTAAAAAAATCGTATCAGAAAAACTGTGCCGTTTTAATATTGGCGATTCGGGTCATCAGATATATTTATGGGCGTGATATGATATCTTTTAGAAAAAATTATTGCGTCTTGTCTCGTAGAACCTACATTACGTACGTTTTGATAATTTCTACAAAAACACAGCGCCGTCAATAATAAAACACAACCAAACACTTTTGAAACCATTTAATTAATTTATTTACAATTAAAATTATAACTTATTACAATGTTTATTAAATATATTTTCTTCTAATATACGCGAATAAATAACATAGAAACAGAGTCAAGACTTAGACTTCGAAACACTGTCGTTACGAAGGTTTAGCCGGGTAGCGGCCCAGTCAACTTGGTTAACATTTTTTAACTTCCTAATCTCTGTAACTGTAGCTAAGAAAAACTTAGAAAAGTATTCATTACAAGAACTTGTTGTTTGTATATTAATTGTACCCAAAGCGGCAAAAACACCGATTTGGAGAGTTTTAAAGCTTACGAGAAAATAACTTTATGTTCAAAAGTAAGTATTAGTAATGGTTTTTTTACAAGCATAATTTATATAGCTTATTGAAAATGTATGAATGTAAAGCTTTCAATTTACATTATCAATATTTTAATGTCTAAGTTTGACTCGAACCGTCTCTGTATACAAATATTATGGATTTTGACAAACAGGAGTCATTGTACATTCATCTAAGTCTTGACTCTGAATCTTACTAAGACTCTCAACCTTTCTATCATAAGATGTACGATAGGTGACTTAGTTTAGTTTATTTTCTTAGACATATTTAATTCTTTGATTGAATAATAATATACATAATAATATCTTTTAGATATTATGTGCGTAGAACTAAAAAGTAGTTTATATTCTGTTGTAATACTTCCATTCCATAAAAACATAAAAATCACTTCAGTGAGAGGTGATAGTGAACAAATAATCGTGTTTACACGTATTAAGTTTCTACAACAACAATAATTACAACTATTGCACCAAACATCACAGACAAACTTTATAAATTATACTTTTAAATAAAATACTTTGAATAATAATAATACAACAAAAGTTTTTTTAGTTGACTTCTTTGAATCGATCCCGTAGGATTAGGATTGCGCAACTATTTCACGCAACTTTCCTGAGAGGTATTTCTATTTGTCTCAGTGACAAAATTGTTATGAATTAAAGGGTCGATCAGCTATAGAAAGAAATCTATTAATCAGACACAGAAATCTGTCAGCCCAACGCCCCATAATGGAGGAAGGGACACATGTCTATTAATCTATTTACTTTAAAGATATAGTATATTTACCTATTTCAATCAAAATCGTTACATTATAGGACCTTTTAAATGTTACATTTATGACACAGCCTTATTTATGTAATAATATTTAACAAATTGTAAAACATGCGATAACTTCTGTAGTAAAAGTTAAATTACACTCACTTGTAATAATATTGTGTCGTTGTTTAAGGCAAAATGCGCTCGTAACAATAACGACTCGTATTTGTAACAACCCCAGCAGTAGGTTTAATTCGGTTTTCATAAAATGTCATCTAAGTACAGTCTTAACAAAAATACCTGTCGTTCGATCTTTGTACAATATGACTAGTTTAAAGCATTTTATAAACTCAATTTAAAACTTTTTATCTTCAATCTTCTCCAGTTCAGTTGCAGCCTTATCGCTTTGTTTGTCTTTGACACCCTCCTCTGTAATTTAAAATTGTTATTTATTGTTTTTGACTGCGCCTTTGCACACTTATAAATAATGATTATTTAAAATTCATGTCTTACATACAATGTTAGTCAAACAACAACTAAGCTTAACGTGAAAAAATTTATAAAATAAACTAAAAATTTCAAAAGCCTTAGCTTTCCCATAGCTAATAATAATTATATTTCAAACTTTTAAATGCTGGCTAGTATATATTATAGAACTATAAATTACAAGTTTCGAATCCCATACTTCATTTTTTCGGGTATAAAAAATAAGACATAATTTAATAAACGTATTAAATATATTACAGTCATACTAAAAATAAAATCATTATACTAATAAAATCATTATTTCGACTATGTGTTTGCGTGTTGTTCCCACGAGAATGTAAGTGCGTGCTCCTATTTCACCATGCCTCCTGCTGATAGGGGACAAGTCTTTGTTTTTATTTATGTTATTATTATTAATTACTTAAAATGTCATGTGGAACATGGTGTAATGGTTGCAGCTCCTTACAAACGTTGTGTAAAAAAAAAAAAACATGGCGATTAAAAAGAGTGGCGGAGAGTTTATTGCCAGTTCTTCTCTTCCGTTCTACGCCCTTGATTTGAGAACTGGCAGTAAATGTAAAATTAGAAGCATTAATACTTATTTCTTTAATGACGAATCACAAGTGTACATTGTGTTACCTACGTGAATAAATGATTTTTGAATTTGAATTTGAATTTGAATATATAAAAAATTATAGATAGGTTCACTACATATAATTTTAATGATGTTTATTTTTCAGTTCTTAAAAGTTCTACCTAATAATTTATGCGTGGAAATTTCTACTAATTTGATTAAATCGATCTATTTGAGCTGTTATGTGTCGATGTTGCCAAACTTATTTGACTTGAATAATTATATAAGTACTAACCGATAGAACTCTTCATTTTAGGTTCATTCCATGGCTGCACAGTCCCAGTGTAGAAGAGTATGAAGAAGAGATTGCTGAGGAAGTAGAACGCAACGGAGAGGAAGAAAACTTTTCGCCATTCCGATGCAGAGTGCTGATAAAGGGAGATAATATATTTAATATAATCCAAATCCTAGTATATAGAAATTTGAGCAAGTTTATTAGAGAAAAAGTGTTTGTTACTCTTTCAGTTGTTCTTTAAGCAGCGTGTTAAACAAATTTTAAGGAAGAAGCGTTAGATTTCGTCGGTATTAAAAAAGTGTTAAAGTATATTATGTTTAATCTGGGTTTCAAATTTATCTGAATTGACATCCCAACTATTAAATATAAATCAAGGCAAATTTAGAGCTGTAACAAGTCCTCAGTTACCTTGACAATTTATCATAGAAATTGACACCTCTAGACAGCTTCTTTTTTACAATACAGACGACCTGATTCTTGAGTCGTCTTATCGTTACTTTTTTTGGATATAACATTGCACTCGGAATAATTTCTCGGATAACTATGCAAAGGGCTACATACATTATGTTTTGGCGACGTGAAACAGCAATATTTCGTAATAACGTTATGCAAAATACATATAGACACGTGCGTTTAAATCTAAGTTAAATATTATAAATATGTATTCCATGGTAGGAACTGTCTACTCACCTCATCCTGAACAATAAGGGTGACGCTCAGCGGCGCCATGATGGAGAAGATATTACCACAGCCATTGGTTATACCCATTAGTGTACTCGCAAAGTTCGGTGATAGATCGATATGGGAGATCTGTAAAAGTTAATAACAGACTTATTCACCTTAATATATATATTTTACTTTTTTCTATAATTTCTTATAATTATTGAATATCTACCCAAACGTATGTAGAAGGTAAGTCTCAGCCTATATGTCTTTATCTAATTTTATACTATATTCAGTGTATTGAAATGTAAATATATATGGTTCGCATTTTTATAAATATTGAAGGACACAAATTTAATTGTATTCTGGTTAAACAGGAAGTGAAGATTAAAGTCCACTTAATAACTATAAAAAAATGTGCGAATAATTTGCATACGAAAATAATAAATTCGTTGACTGTTGATTTTGTGTGTTGATAAACGTAGTAGATTTTTACTAATTAATATTAAATAAAAATCAATTATTATTCGAACGGTTCCAGTATGATCAGTACGCACAATAACTCTACGGGCTATTTCATATAAAGCCAAATAAAGATTAACAGTAAGCGACATTTTTATACCCATTATTATAGGATGTAAGTAAATGGAAGAAACAAAGGAATACATTTTTGATCAAAGCAAAAAGGTCTATTTTGAAACAATCACTAGCAAAATGAAAATCCCCTGCAATTTGGGTATTAGAAACAGAGAGATAGAACTTTCAATTTTGTTTTATTGAAACTAATTCCACATTTGTAAAAATATTTAATTACAGATTTACTTTAAATCTGAATATGAAAAAAGGATTTTTTTTTAGTTATTAACGTAACATTTTTAATTAACTGATTTGTAAGAGCAATTATGAAATTACTGACCAAGAATCCAACATAATGAGCGCCATTAAGTCCAACAGTGACGGTCAACATCGCGACTGCCAAAGGTACATGACCTGCTGGTATGTAGCAGAGACCTAGAAGAGCTGCTGCGGGGCCCCAGAATGCTGAAAAGTTATATTTTACTATATAAATACTTAGTTACAATGGCGATTCCTTATTCGTAAACCTATTGATCATCGTATTGAGATACTTTAAAGATAATCAAACGTGACAAAACATCCATAAATTTACGGTTTATAAATCTGTTCGTAGTTCTTCTTGTTACTGTTTGTAAAGAAAGCCTACGTCAACTTGAGGGAATGTATAAATCACCTTCCATTGAATTGGATACAGGCAAGCGTCTGGTTAAATTTAATAATAGATAAACATAACCAATATGAACCTTTAATTATATCATACAGACCACTTGTGACCGATCAGAATAAATGGCTAAAACTTTTGATACGTATAAATATGTCAGTAATGCTTATAAGATATATGTAGATAATTCATATATTTTCTACTCGTCTGTAAAAGACAAAAAAAATAGTCAACAAAAAGGATTCACTATAACATATTCACAAAAATAATTGCTCACTGATAACATTATGTTAATCCGTACGATTGACATAATGTGATCAATAGTATGAAAGAATGCATTGTATTGTAGTATAGGGGACTAAAATATCTCGTCTATGTCATCTAAACACACATAAATCAAAAACATATAGGTCCAGTAACAATATCGTGCAAAAGTAACGATATGAAAAAAAGCAAACGATTCCGATGTTTTTATAATGTGCATAGCGCAGGAATGTTTTTCAAACAAAAAGCGTTCCTCGCTCGTGTGTACTAAATACGATTCCAAGATTCCTACACATTACTCCATTTTTACTTATTGAATTTTATTATACTATTCTATTACGTATACGGTAGGATTGTACATACGAATTGTTTAAAACAAAGTCTATTATATGCCAAATCAAAAGTGAATTGTTTAAATACATACAAATGGTGTTGAAGATTTTTCTAATAGTTCCATGAGATAGAATATTCCTGTTAATCATGAAGTCTGCAACCCAACTGAACACGAAACTCAAGATGTACATTGCCAAGTATGGAAGAGCGGAGTATATGCCGTTCTGGAAATAATATAGTTAGTTAGATAAAGTAATTTATAGTACCCATGTTAAGATACTAAAACCATTCTTCTTTTTCTCGTTAGCAGAAAATGAATTTTAAAATTTCATTGGATTTTTTTGTTAGAGAAAATATAGTAATTATACCAAATTGTATAATATCGGTTTATGTTAACAAAAATTAATAAATAGTTTTTAGTATGTAAGTATTAGTTTATTTTAGTTAGTAGATTAGTAGTAGGAAAGTTTATCACTCACGTCTTTTATAGCGACACCCAGTACTTTGTCCATATACGACGGCATTTCAGTGAGAAGTGTCCAGAAACCAAGACTTTGTCCACAATGGGCCAAGAGTATCGCCCAGAATGGTAGAGAAGTCCAGATTTTTTTCCATGGTGTTGATACTTTCTAAAAAAGAGAAAAAATACTAAGGTGAGCATTCCGATAAACTCGTTGACCACCTTTGCTGAAAAAACGCAATAAAAACGTATATGTACTTGGGTAAATAAAAAAAAATGCTTTTATATACGTTATGGTTTTTTTTTATATAATTGAAAAAAAAAGTTTTACCTTTTGTTCATTTATATCAGCTGCGCCAGCACTTAGTTCAATGAACTTTCTTTCTTCTTTGGATATCCAACGGCTGGTTCCAGGAGTTGAGGCTCCGAAGATGTACCACAATACAGAAAAGACGACGCAGGTGATACCAGCTACATAGAAAACAGATGGCCAGCCCCACTTGCTCTCTGACAACCACCCAGCTATCACCATCTCTATGATTGTTCCTAGCTGTGAACCTGAAAAATATCAATAACAATTGACATCAAAACACATATGTTATGGGTAACAATAATCAGACATATGCAAACAGAAATATTGTAAACAGAATAAGGAAAAATTTGAAGCGGCTAAGTTTTTTTAATTCGGCGATCGCAATCGGTCATAATATAAATTGTTTTTAGAACTTTTACAATTTAATTCGACCTTCTAATTTCTTGAATATAGTTAATAGTAATACCGTCTCTCGTGTATCAGGAAAAATTTAAGCGATATTTTAATGCTTGAAAACGTACCCGAATATACAATGGTTCCCATACGACTCCTCTCAGATAAGGGTGCCCATTGTCCTATGACACCATGGATACTTGGATACAATAGACCCTGTGCAAGACCCATCAGAATTCTACATGCGCACACCGCTATCCAGTCACCCTGTAATCATATAGTTAGTCCTGTACATCATCATACATATACATATTTTCACAAAGTTTTCGATCATGTCTTGGTACGAAGAACATATAATTCTTGCAATAAATACAACCCGACTGTTTTATAAACTACTAGCAGACCGGCCAAGCGTTGCTGTGGCTAAAGTTTTTGTTATATTACATAGTAGTAAACTATTCAAGGGAAACGGTAGGAGAACTTATGTGAAAGGTAGATAGCTTATATGAAACGTTGGTACTTTTAACACAGCGCCATCTGTTAGAATTGTATCAAATAATAAACAAATATTTGCAATAAAATAATATTGCGGGTATACATTGAGATGTTTGCTATCCTATCTTTTAAGTTAGATCAAACTGCACACGGTGTGCAAATTTGATTGAAATCGGTTAAGTAGTTTAGGAGTCCATAGCGGACAAACAACGTGACGCGTAATTTATATATATTAAGATAACCGAAAATTTTGATTAGTATCTAAAGATTAATAATATTGAGTATTTATATATTATATAGTATAGTTTAATAAATCGTTCTGTACGATTACAGTTACAAGTGCGTAAAGCGTCTACGAGTATATTGATATATTTAATACCTACTCGTATGGCTATCCTAAAGAAGTTCTTTAACTCACATCTTCACATCTATACCTAGTGGTAGTAGTGTGGTCACTATCAGAACCATAGTACTCACCTAACGCACATTTACATTGATATCAGGTTTTTTCTTCAATGGTATTGAATGTAATAGGTATAATATTTACCTATAGGTTTATAAAGCCAAAAATAAATCAATTGACGTCACATTATCTTTTACGGAAACCTTGTTTATTGAAATACTAGTCTAGTGAATTACAAAACAGCAAAAATACCTGAGTTGCCATCAAGGGTGTAAACAAATTGACAACACCAGTAATAATCATAGACACAAAGATTAGCATTTTCCCGCCAAATCTGCCAGCGAGTAGACCAGCTGGTATCTGCAGCACTATGTAGCCCCAGAAGAATGATGATAGAATTGTGTCTCGTATGCTTTGCTCCCATTCGAATACCTGAAAAACGTATTTTTTTGGTAAGTATTTAATACTTTAATTAATTATTATATAAGCCGTTAGCGTCTACTCCGCTGACTGAGGGTCTATATTTCTAAACTAGTATCGCTTACTTTACACTAGAAGAAATTGGATTAATCGTACAATTGTTTAAATAAATTTTCGAGTTTACTTTAGATTGGTAACAGTTGGAAGTAATTTAGTCATTATTTGATATGATGATGATGTATAATCCTGCGTATGTACAGGTTTTTATAGATCCTAGCTAATAACGTGGTAAGATTTTTCTTCTAATTTTTTGTCTAAAACTTTAAACGTCTGCACTACTTGCGACAAATTGTTGGACCACATTCTACATGTACAAACGTTAACCAGTGGAAACGAATTTAGTCAAACAACACATCTCTATTCATTCTTTAAAGTTTAATATAGCGTTTATTGTCTTTAGTTTCTTATTTTCACTCAGTCCAAAGTACAAACGACCGAACAAACTATTATCGTACATACGTAAACGAAAACTTTATCAAATGTACACACATAGGTCTATCGGTGTATGTCTTTCTGATAATTCTCAAGAAACTCAAAAAATGTACTTGCTGATGACTAATAATACAGAATATTAATTAATATTTCATGAATATGTAAATATATTTTCGAAAATTATGTTTAATCAGCTTAATGTCTAACAAAGAAGTTGTCTGTTTTATTTAAGAGCTCATGTTTGTTTTTATTCGTAATTTGAATGATATTTCTTTTATAATTGTACTTCATTTCATCTATTTTAATATTAAAACATATTTTGTTGCTGGAAATATCTTTAGTTTTGGTACCAAACACAAATTTAAATATATATATATATTTATATCCGGGTTTTTGTATATAGAACTCCGGGATTTTCTATGAGGTCAATAAAATAGTTAAGGAAACTGGACACCTTGTTTTTGCGTAATACGATTTTTCTTGTCTGTTCTTCTAAATGGCTCTAAAATATCGTATTACGTAAAAACAAGGTGTCCAGTTTCCTTAACTATTTTATTGACCTCATAGAAAATCCCGGAGTTCTATATACAAAAACCCGGATATAACGACTGTTTATGTATATGAGAGTAACTATGTGAATTATAAAGCCTAGACAATTGAATTATCTATCAATTAGTATTATGTCACAGCAATGATTTATTACGACATCAAGTATTCTTAGAACTCAATATATAACATATCCATAGTATCGACCCAAACATAAAATTATTACGAACTGTTTATACTAATGTCTTTAAATAACTGTCTGAATATATTTTATTTCGGTGATAAGTTTATCAGCCTCTTTGCATTCACGAAAGTACACGAAGGTTTAACTATCAGATATCGGAATTTTAGACTTTTCCAATATATGCTATGTACATTACTAACAACTAGTCAGAAATACGACGGTAAGACTGACTTTACTTCGTAATAGCTTTAGTGAAATTTGGCGTTTGTAACCAATAGTTATCTCTGGTTTAATTTGTGTCACAATAATTAGACGAACTATCAGAAAAACAGAATGTAATGTAATCCCCATTCTCCATTGGGGATAAATCAAATTTAAATTTAGTTCACCTTCCCTTCTTATTGCATATTACAAGTGAATTTTCAGATTGGTCACAACTCATATTTAATAGCTTACTAAGATTAAAAGTAATTAGAGTTTGTTATAGCGTTGCTAGAATTTATGTTGCTTAACGCTGATAAGCGGAATTAATAAGATGTTAATCAACACACGTGGAATCACACGACAAAACTTAATTAGATAAATTTTTTTTCCGAATGTTGGAAACATTTTTCTAATGATTTTTTAAGATTATTTTTTTTACGAATGTTGGAAATATTTTTCTTATGATCTTATTTCTTGAGACGTATTTTGTCATATTGGTGATAACTAACTAAAATCTTTGGTACCACTACTGCAACAAGTACGGTAGCTGAATATTTCTACTCGCGATGGCTGGTGACCTATCACCACAGGAAATCTATAGGCCAGCCTCTCACAAAGATTGTATTATGTAAATTTAAAAAAATAATAATATTAGGTAGAGGCAAATAATCACCATTTTTTTTAATTTATTATGTAGGGAAAATTTGCGAATATCGAAAAATACTTAAAAACTACTTCTGTGCAACTAACATAACTATGGCTAGAATTTGCACGAATTTTAAGTATTTCATCAGGAGTTCTGTAGTAGCTATAATTTAAATCAATATAACGAAGTCAAACGTATAATACATATACGGTCTTACTAATAAAAAATCACTATGCATGAGTTATAACAAGGTGATAGTTATTCAGTGAATAGAGCTTGTACAGGGCATAAACACCTCTTTGACCAATAATCGATGTGTATTGGTTGAATAACTAAACGACCCTTATTTATTGTTACCCTGGCAACCCGCCGTGTTTGATTGACGTTTGACTTAATAATTCTGATAGAAGTCATAATTCAAATGTAAGTTGTATTTATTTTAGCAACCAAAACAATTATATTCAGACAAAGAGGACTAGAATTTTACATAAAAAGCCACGTTCTGCAGTACAAAAGTTGGGAGAGGTTAGTATCAATGTGATAGAGAAAAGGACTATTTCATTCAAAAGCCCTCAACGATCATACTTAAATTTTTTAGGCATCTCAAATAGTGGAAAGTGCCAAACTCCGCAACACGGCAGCGTTCCAGTGTTTGCAGGAAGAGCATGAAACCAAACTAAGGCAAATGGCTGAAACACATGAGCTCAAACAAAAGCAACTTGCCGAAGCTCACAAATGGGCTAGACAGGAGCATCTTCTAAGGCTCAAACTATTACAGCAGCAATATAAAAAAATAAAACCCCTGTTTTAAATGAAATATAACTTTTTATTTATTTCACGTCTAACTATCCACACCTATGTAAATAAAACAGCTTTAAAAATATGTTTCAATATAAGCAGCTCTAGCAGCTTGTCCAGCCTGATTGCTTGGGGGCGTCTAGGTTGGCCTTGGTTCTTCTGGAGCATTCTCAGTGTCATCATACGTAACATCCAGGTCTTCTTTCATATCAATAGCAATATTGTGGAGGATTGCCAGTGCTACTATATATAATTTGGCATTTTCTAAAGACACTGAGAAGCCATGAAGAAGACACCTAAATCGAAAACCATCCACCTCTATTACTCTTTTCGACATCAGCTCGCACTGTCACAGATCTTCATAACATACTTCTTTGAAAAGCGGTATTTTGTTTTGAAATCGCCATCCGAAAGTAATAACGGATTGCACCGAGTTTGGTATGTTTTGACTTTCCTTGGAGGCGGCAAATCTTCAATCGTATGTATTAGCTGCATATCAATATTATCTAAATCTTCCATTTGATCTATAAAATCTATTTTCAACAAACACAAATACCTACTAACTTAAATCTTTCCTTGAACTAAACAGTCAAAAAATGCTGTCAAACGCGAAATCAGATCAAATAACGCAATTTATGTCCTATACACCCGTTAAACTAGGCCTCGGCGTTGTATAAGCATTGTACAAGTCTTCATACAAACCAGACACTTGTTATAACAGCCGTATACATCAAACGTGTGAATTCAGGAATTATTAGTAACATTTTTCTTATAACAGGCTTATACGATGTGCATAATTCTTTATTAGTAAGACCGATAGTTTGTTTCAGTTGTTTTGTTACAATTTAAGTTACATTAGAAAATATAAATCAATCAATCAATCATAAATATAAATCAATCTTAGCTATCATTATTTACTATTTTTTACCGAATAAATATTGTTTAAAGATTAAACAAATCGATAACTTCTCAAACACAACGGACGCAAATATTTCTGTTTTGACCAATAGTATCAAAATAAGTAGTTAATTCGAAAATCATTGACATTTAACTTTGTGTTTGTATTTTGCAATCAAATTCAACATATTTGAATAATGACGGCCTTAAACTGCGACAATTCTGATGTTTACTAGACAAAAATTGTTTAACTATATTTTCGCATCTATAGATTTATTTATAGTTACAATTTATTCAATTATTTTTATTATTGGTGTATTTTCAAAGTACATAATGTGGTAGTCAGCTGTGTAAGATAGAAATTAAAATTTAAAATACAGCTAAAACAATACAGAACAATTTTTAGTGAATTTTCAGGACGCTGAAAACCCTACAACTTTGTATCATTTACGTTACCATTGACATGTACGAAAACCGAGTTACTAAATAAAATGTAATAAAAATTCTAGCATGCTACTCCCAGAATGTTTCAGATTTCAGCACAAAATATTCGAAAACGCCGAAATACCTGAGCCAATAAAAGTAAAACGGGCACTGAATTTCAAGTCGACAAGTTGACAACAGCCATTACAGCTTTTCCACAGGGATTTTACACAATTCTTAGTATTTCCGTTAGTCTCTTTATTTAGCAGACTTAAATGTAAGGTAGCAATAATCCATATAAATAAAATACAGAGACATTAAATTAACAAGTGATCGAAACATACGCTAAAATATGCATCATAAGATGTGAGAACTTTGAAATTTAATTCTGTTTTAACAAAGCCGGAATTCGAATCGTGGGAATCAGATAGTGACTCTTAGCTATAGATACAAATAATATATATAAAATTAATTTACCGGAAAGCCAGGCTTGAGGTCAAATCTGACCCATGTTGTTTCTCGTTTTTATAATTTAAGATTTTTGAAGTTATACTTCTTTTGGCGCGTGAGGGAAAAATTATGAGAGTAAATTTTTACGATACGCGCGCACACCATTTCTTCAATTATGTAGAAATAATTTTTTGTGATATTTAGATAAACTTTATTTAACTAGATAATGCATTATAATAGAACTTTCAATGTATTAAATATACCATTTGTCTATTGCTAGTGTCGTTTTTTCTACAAACGTAGAATATGTCGAAAGATAAAAAAATTAAAAAGATTTTTATCTTGTTACGCCAAAGAAGTATAACTTCTAACGCGTGTACATAATGTTTTTTAGACCCTGAATATATATTGCGGGAATAACTGAGTTAGTGACTTTGGAGATGTAATTAATACAAAATTAATTTACCGGAAAGCCGTGCTCGTTAGGTTTGGTCATGGCGACAATCGCAAGACTCATGCTGACCCTGGTAGCATACGACGTTACTGTCGACAGGAACAGTAAAAATATGACCACATGCCGCATCCCGAAGGAGGACTCTGCAAAAAAATCCAAATTAGAGTTTATTTACAAATCATACGTCAGACAAATTATCAAATGTTGACCAAAAAATTGTATAAAACAAAGTTATTTTAATTGTTAGTGGTCAAAATGACCTTTCTCATAACTTATAGACTTTCTGTCTCTGATATACAAAACCGTGAAAATTATCCTTCGAGTTACGTATGAAAAAAATCAAGTCAAAAAGGCCGTCAAATACCAATACAAAAAAAACAATTAATTATATAGTAAATAATCATTCTTATAAGCCACTGATATAGGATAGGTAAAATTTACTGACCCTAATACCATTTTATCTCAAAAATAGTTATTAACATTTAATTTAATTCTGCACTAATTAGGAACAGGTTTATACTGATAGAAACTCAGGCAACTTATACTAATAAAACTAACTCGCAAAACAATATACAATATATAACATTTTTATTTGACTGTCAACGTACTCAATACGAACGTAGGTTCTACGTCTATGCTCAATGCTCATGCTGTTCAATATTTTAAACTGTACCGATTCATTAAGTGGTATTACTATTGTTTCTGACAATGGACTAGCGGCTCGAAAAGCATTTTCAATACATGTTAATTTTAAGTTTGAATATTATGACCCAATCTATATCCAATAAAGTAAAATGTTCGATGGAAAAGACCGATTGTCAAATGTCATTCTGATGTTTCGGATTCCCATAATAAGCCAATTACTATACTTATTAAATTAAAATCGACACACATGTTGATATCCTTATCAGTATATATATATATATATACATGACCGTGGTTGAGTGTCAATGCACCCAACCTGTTCAATTACTTTCCTTTTTCGTATATTCACTTGATATCGAGGCTATTATGATAACGTATTTGTTTGTTAAACTTTAATTCGTGCCGATTTTAATATAGATGAGTATTCGACCATAATAATATTGAAATTGCCCTACGCTAAAGTACTTGGCAATTTAAAATGCTCCGATCATATTACGGTCCACCATATAATATCGTTATATCACATAGAATGCCATGAATGCCAGCGGCCACCAGATGGGCAGCGATCAAGCGGATCATTATTACGCCACGCGCTAAGGTCATAACTACAACCGCATTGCCAAGAGCGTATAGACCCAAGTCGAAACTCCGTATCTTGAAATACGTTAATTAGGCTTAAGAATTTGTAGAATAGATAGAATCGAGAGCGACCCCGGCGTCTTTTGAACGCGGCCTTGTAGGAACTACCCGAGGTTGTTTTAGTGGGTATTGCTACCCAGTCTCTAAATAGCAGAGATTCTGGTGTGGGTCGAACCCCTGAACATCCACCTTGAATAAAAAACCTATTCTGTAATTCTTACAATGATTTCAAATGTTGATCAAACGAGACTACAGCACGGTTATGGATATATTAAATACAATTAAGTATAATAAAATGAATTGCACATAATATTTTGTTATTTTTCTCCATATTTTTATTTGCAAAACCTATTTTATTGGTTCCAAGCTTTCGACCTGCGCTTACGTTGGATTCATTCACTTCCTTATAAAGACAGTAACATGATAAAAATTAATAACTACTAACAGCTGATAAATTAAAGTCTGGGGAGGAGTCTAGGGGTAAAACATTACCACTTGAAGGGATGTATATTCGAAGTATAAGCATTGTAAAAGCTATTTGACAGGTCGTTTGAATTTTTATGCATATTCATAACCCCAAGTTCGAAATATCAAACTAAAGTTGCCAGGATTTCATACTAAATATTGGATTCAAAAATTCTTTATTCAATATGCGCCAACGATTTATTGAAAAAACATGATATATTGACTTGAAAACATCAAGTTAGGATTCCATTTTGTTACAAAATTTATATCTAAAAGAATTTTCATAAACCTACGTACTAGTTAATTCACAAAGCAACTATTTCATCTGAATAAAATAAACTGATTATTAGCTCTTGAGATTACACAATTTCCTTTTTTTATTTTTATTATTGCTTAAACATTTTGAATAAACTAAAAGTACAAAAACACAAAAAAAACACTAATGGGTTTAACCTTGGTGCTTGAAGTGCACAGAACAAATTCCTTACAAACAAAAGGGTTACAAAAAACAAATAATACAAAAACGAAACGAAAAAATTATTTGTACACCATATATATATATTTAATATCTATCTTAAATTTATCAGATGTTATTACAAGTATAAGAGTTGTGGTAAACAGTAATAAGGCACGGAACAATACGTCAAGTTAGTCGCGGTCTGTCCAAAATTTTAGGGTACTTATAAGGCGTAAGAAAATCTTGAGAAAAGTTTAAATATTCTCTATAAACTTCAGCTTAATACATGAAAATTTGTTTACCTCATAATTATTTTAAAAAGAAATAAAATAAATCAGTGGCAAGTAGGTGATCCAGTGCGTGACGTACGCCGTCGACGTTTTGGGTCTAAGACATGTCGGTTTCCTCTCAATGGATTCCTTCACCGTTCGAGCGAATGTTAAATGTGCACATAGAAAGAAAGAAAGTCTATTGGTTCATAGCCGGGAATCGAACCTAGGACCTCACGGATGAGAGGCGCACGCCGAAGCCACTAGGCCAAAACTCCTCTCACACTATATGTCATATTAATTACGCACATAAAAAGTAATATATATTTTAATTGTACAATAAATCGGTAAACAAACCATTTATAGTAAAACGAGGTTAAATTTAGGATTGCTTTAGACTAGCCCAATACACGACCCACTTAAAACCACGGATCTTAATGAATCGCCTATTATCCATTGTGAGTTTGTGCGTCAAATCGGCATCAGAGCCCATGAAATTGCCGGTCACGTAATAAACGACCCATTAGTTATGTTTTGGTCGCATTCAAACACATAAAACAAACTCCTACGCCCACCGTAGAATTGAAAATTACTTGTCTTTGAAGATGACAGTAGATTAATTGCGTACTATTTTATAAATTTAGAACTTAGCAAATTATTCGATTGGAATTTGCTACAGCTACATTCATTGATATTAATTTCCTGTAATTTAGCAAAAAGTTACAAATAATTGATCATAAACTAAAATTTATTGTCATATATTATTTCATGGTATTAGTAATTAATTTTACAATATGTAGTCTTTGTTCGTGTATAGTACAATAATAAACTTCATTTTGCTTGCTTCCTCAACAGGTGAACTAATATACAGCAGTTGCACTGTTTATTAGCTATTGTTTTGGTTTTATTGTTCATAAAAAAAAATAGTCTGATTTTTTTTCTATAGCGACGCTCACACTGCCAGAAGGCTCGTGATACGCTCGTGTCTTGAAGAACCCTAAACCGAATATTTCGGAAATACTTCAGTGGGCAGCTGGTTCCATATAGGGGTGGGAAAAAAGGGAAAAAAGTGCGAGTTTAATTTCGTATCTCTGATTAATTTAGACTGCAAACCCGCCTTATTTGGGTCCCAAATCGACTTATTTATTATTTTGATAAGTCTCGAACTAGTATTTTATTCAAGCCTCTATATGTCAGACGTCCTCGAATCTAGAAAACGTTAGTTTCATAACAATTCTTTGCAAATCTATATTGCGCATATATACAAAAATAATCTTTACCAAGGATTAAGCAAGTACCTTGCACCCATTCTTTTTGAGAGTCAAACTAAAGTACTAAAAAATACACCTACCAACATCATCATCACTATAAGAGTTTTGATTTTCGAAAACTTTCTTCGTGCTTGTCGATCTTCGACGCATATTATTTTTAGTCACATTCATATAATTAAACACCATTTTGCCTTACTCGCGAAATAAAGGTAACTAATTTCAGCATTATCGAACCGAAAAGATAAGGAGAAGTAATAAAACATAAAAATATATTTATAATCGCGTTTTATCGTAACTAGTCAATCGATTGGAAATAATTTGAAAGACATTTTTGACGATTTATGTTTAGGTTAACTAAGTCAAATATATATAATAAATATCAATCATGATAAGAAGATATTGTTTGTTAGATGTTGGTAACGAGAAAGTAACGCGAAAGTTCTGAGTTCGTTCCCTAAATAAAAGCCTCCAGGGGCATGCACCTCTCTCATTAGTAAACTCAATACTCACAGTTATAATAAATTAAAAAGTTTAAATGTTACTTACAATATTTATTATAGTTATTATATAAACTAGTTCTCACATACCACGAAACGAACAGAGCCATCCAGAACACATTTTAAAAATAACACAAGTACAAAATGGAACTCGGTTCCTAATAAAAATTCGTTTAAATTTGCGAAAAACATTATAGGAATTCCAAATGTACGGCTTGCCGCACATGGTCACGATTAATAAGTTAATGACTTTATCGGTAACTAATGGAACTGAATAATTAAAATCGCTAATTAACTCTAATGGCGCAAATATCAGATATTCAATTACACAATTGGTTTTAACCAATTTTAAAACAATAAAATGTAAATAAGTCAAATTTTTAAACTAAAAGGAGAATAAATATGTTGGGTTTTGTATTGAATATGATATAAGCTGGCATTTAGTATTTATGTTTAAATAGTAAAAAAATCACTCTTAGTTTCTAACAAATAAATAAATGACGATCTAATCGTATAAAATCGTTTTGTATGGCTAAAATTCCGATGGTAAAAAAATTAAATAGTTTTGCGATGAAATACATAAATATTTCTCACAGGATAAAAAATAATCTTACATTCGTAAATAAGCCAAAGATTTATAACAATTAAAAGCATTTAATCTTTCGTAATTTATATAGTCTATTACTTCCGATAGCTAACGTCTAGATTATATCGATTTAAAAATAAGGATAAATAATAATTGTTATGGAAAATGTTGCAATTTCTTGTAAATACAAGTTAAAGGACCTTAAATAACCTAAAGAGATTTGATGATTTAGTAAACATTGTTTTTTCCTTTTGCGTAACAATATCTCATGGAAACTATTACTCCGATAGTGCTTATGTACATTAAATATCTTTGGTATCCCAAAGACATTTTTTAACTGATAATGTTTTAGACAAGCTATTTATTTATTTAGAAAACCTTAAGGCTTACTTAACTATTATACAACATAAATTTTGAATCATACGCCAATTAAAAGGTTCACAGACTATACAATAATACAGAGAGAATAATTGTAGGGTGTAGATGTGTATTTGAGTGTGTGTAACTGAGGCATGTGTGTTTAAATCGGTTTGATTTAGTGACATTAAATTGATATAGTATTTGATTGTCATTTGTCTTCTGACGCATCTGACCAGTCGGCGTCAGCCTAGACAGGGAAAAATTTTTTCGTCAGGAACTATTTGTGGCCTGTGCCGCGTCAGGCATTTTAATTGTATAATCTACGTTTAATTGTATTTTTTTTTAACTTAAATAATATCATCCTCGTATTTTCCTACTCTTTAGCCTTAAAATACGTCCGCCTATACACCATACAAATTTAACAAATGTATGTGGTTATTAATCGCACCCTATTATGCAAAAACTACGTATCAGTCGAATTATACTTATAAAGTACTTTTTTGTCTCTATCTGTCAAATTGTGATATCGCTGTGACGAAAAGAGACAGTTGAAAGCTTTAAAAATTGTGCAATTGGTCTGATTCTTTTATGAATAACTTATTCATACAGATTGAAGTATATAATGTAATATTTGGTTGTTTGACTTTAAAGCTCATAAGCATTGCTCTTAACGTATTTTAAATTGTCTATCCTGTAAACAAGTAAACACGGATATCTCTCATAACATTGGTAAATGATCAATTGAGAAAAACTACTTAATGTTGCTAGGAGGAAAATTGACTCGGTTAATTGTGAGTCCCCTCGGGTCAAGGACGTACATGTTTTGTCTTTTTAGATCATTACCTCGAAAGACTAAATATTTAGAATCTTAACTTGCCAATATTCAACATTAATGTGATTACGATCTTAAATTTGTAACCATAACAGAGAACGACTGTTTGACTTGACAAAGGTAAGGTACACCTTAAAAATACATTTTGTATCCATTGTAAGTGTAAACATTATGCGGGTATATCATAAACTCTTTTGCTTGATTTATAATTTGATACATTTTAGTATATAGTTATTTTGGGCTGGCGATCTGAGTGAGTTGTTGCCCCACATATTTTTATGGTGCCACTGGCGGTATTGCTGTGTACCGGGTTGTGCAGCTCCCTCAAAAATGGTTGAGCTGCATGAGCTATTCGGGGCATGCTTGCCGTCTGCTGGCACAGGCTTGCTCAGATCGATCTGGTTCTTTCTTCCAAAGACCAGTCCAGTAAATACTCTGCATTTGTTTACACCAATTTATTAATTTATTATTGTATTATCTGGACTATAAAAGAGACTAAGACCCCCGAGTTTGTTTCGACATTTCTTCTCAGGGCAGTCAGTTAGGAAATGTCGACTTCATCTAGTTTAGGATGACATTGTAAAAGTGATTTATATAGTCCTACTTGCAAGAATAAACTATTTCATTTCATTTCATTTCATTTCAAAGCAAATCGAAAACTTGCAATATCTTGTTTAAGATATAGTGCCGAGATATGTGAGGATAAAATAATAATAAAAGTGGTTTATGTACATATTGTTATGTGAGGAAGAGGCGTTGAGTGATACTCTCCAATTATTAACAGATGAAAAATACATATAGTTTAATTTAGCATTCCAAATGATTTAAACAACGGATATGGTAGCAACATTGCAATGATATTATTGCTAGATACAATCTTTTTAAGCGAGCCATCGGTTACTAAAAAGTAATATTGTAAAAAACTTATATTGATCATGGCAACTAGAAATGTTGGCCCTCCAGTTTCTCATTTAAATCGTGGTAGTGGATTCACAAAACTATAATAATTAATTATAGCTAAATTTAACTTTATCAAACATCGTTATTGGTAATTAAAGGTCCGTAGTCTATAAATATGAAAAATAGCTACTATTATTATAGTAGTTTTTTTTTGACAGTAAGGCAGTGATAGATTTAATGAGCCCGCTACAGGTAGTAGAATCAGGATGAAAAGAATTAAGAGCAGTGTTGACCTTAAGCGTACGACTTTAAACCCTGAGGTCGTGCGTTCAAATCCCGGCTGTCGCCAATACGATAAAGATATCATGAGGAAACCGGTATGTCTTAGCCCCAAAAACCGACGACATATTGTCAGGCATAGTAGGCAATTATCTAAATACCTCTAAAAACAACAAAACAGATGCAATCTGAGTCCAAGACCCACCCATAAAGCGCCTTTTAATTGTTAAATTAATTATTATTATTAAATGTACGTACATTTATTAGCTTGATTGAATAATGTATACGAATAGTATTAGTAGTATTGTATTATCAGTCTTGTGGCCATGGGTTAACAATTTCTTTATTTATTTTTTCTTAATTCTATAGACACACAGGTGCCTTTAATAATTTCACATTTATTCTCCCGGTATAAAGAGATACCAATCTACTAGAAATACTATTAAATATTAATATGTCGCATAAATAAACAATTTACAAACAAACAATTAAGAAAATAAATAATAAACAGCTAATTATCACCGGAACCAAGTCGCAATCCGAGGTATTAGTTATTTCGGAATGGCCTTGCACTGCCACTGGTCAAGCATATTAATTAAATTGATTTGAAGAAAGGTCGCTAGGAAGTATTATATCCGCTATTAAAAACTAACCTTATTTATGAAATAGCAGGATGATACTTTTATTAATTTTATTTGGGAAACTGTCATAGTAAAAGGGTTTTTGATTTCAGCTAGCCGAGTTGAGTTAAGAGTGAATGCCGTAACAAATGGGCGATTTTGCATATTGTCCTTAAATTGAACATATCGGATCAAAATTTAATAATATTTATATAATATAATAATATTTAGATGAACGTGTACTAGAGTCTAGTAAGTAAATTGAGTGTTTACGTGAGCGCAAAAAATACTTGAATTTTATTCTATTTTAACGGAAATATAAAATAGTTTTCATATATTTTTTAGGCACAACAATTATAAGAAATCATTCATTGTAATTTTTACCGAAACATTTTTCAGTCTAACGCAATTATGATTTTAGGAACCCATCTACTTATCTAAGACATAACAGGATCTCTATTAAATAAAAGGCAAGCCAAAAAGAAATATATCATTGTTTACGTAACTTGCTCTTATTAATTAACGTAAAGATGAAACAGTTTAATCTGTTCATTTTAACTGTAATTTGTTAGTGAATTTGCACCGCAAAAATCTGCTGCGTAATAAGTGAGTCAACGAAAGAAAATTTGCTGACCTTTTCATCTCCTACTTTTAGTAAAAATCTCATATAACCCGTACCGTAGCTTAACTTGAATATACATTATCTGCCAAAGATTTATATAATAAATTAAACACATTACTTTAGGTTGGGAAAATACTAAAAGATTATCTCAATGGGTTACATTCAAAAGTAAATCGTTTCACGACCTTTCCTTGGCCATTAAAATGGAGGTTTCAGTCCTTATCATTGATAACAAAATCTGAGTAGTAGTGCGCGTGATTTTTCTCAAGTGGCCACAAATCTATCAATACGTACTTGAGATACAGATTTACTGTAGATATTCGATCACGACTATAATATATAAATTATTCTTATTAAAAAGCTTCAGATGTTTCTTCTCCTGCCCCGTGATGGTGTTTTAAAATGTAGAAGGAATATCCATGACAGCCACAGTCTACATAAGTAAAGCCGCCTC